ATGTGACCATACTTCCCAACACCAAATAATCATCATTTCACCACGCTGGTTCAGTGCGGCTTGAAAGTGGGGAGGGGGAGGACGTACCGATGGATTTTACAGCGCTGCCGTCCGCTGCACCAACATCGCCACCCACGCCCGCAGCTGCTGCTGCTGTTGTTGTTGTTGCTGCTGCTGTTGTTGTTGTTGTGCGTGATCACGGTCAACCATTAAAGCACTGGCTCGGCTCAAGCCTGCTTTGGCTTGACTCCGATTACACTGGTCTACAATCTTCTTGGTTCTTTCGGTAAAGTCACATAGAAGGGAAATAATAACATAATAAAAATAAAACGTAATAGAATAATTATCACGACGTTTCGGCCACAACGCAAGCAGCCGTTCACCTGAGGACGGCTGCTTGCGTTGTGGCCAAAACGTCGTGAGAAATATTTTATTATTTCCCTTCTACTTGACTTTACCGAAAGAACCAAGAAGATTAATCCCTGCAGTCACGACAGCTTTAAATCGAAACTAGTCTACAATGTTTTAGGCGTCGTCTGCTTCAGAGATGTGCTGTTTATTATGGATTTTGATGCTCTGAATTAAAATGTGACAGCCTCCGCACGTGATTATCTGCAGGGGCTGTGGGGTCTGCGAAAACTCAGATCACCCACCGCCCTATTTATCCAAATCATGTTCCCCCCCCCCCCATCCTGCATTGCCGAATAACTTCCTATTACCCACAATATTTTTCCCCGATAGTCGGTGGGTGAATTCAGAACCGGCCCTAGACCTTTGGGGGCCCTAAGCAAAATTTGTTTGGAGGCCCCTTTGATGTATGATTTTTTTCACCCACTAGCTAGCAGTGACTCTAGGGGGCCCTCTGCTGGCCACGGGGCCCTTTGCAATTGCAAGGGTCGCTTAGTGGCTGGGCCGGCTCTGGGTGAATTCTTAATATTTTCGACGATTATCCGCCTGATTATTTTCACGGATGAGTGGAGCCAATTTGTTCATAACATCGCGTATAATAGGATCAGCCACGTTCATTCTAACCCCATTGTACCCCCCCCCCTCCACCGCATCACTGCGAATAAGAGGAGTTCCACTATAGAGGCCCGGTGTGCTTAACTTGTCGTCACGAGTGTTCACATTCCCAGCCGCCTCACTCGTGGTCATCCCATCGGCTCTCAATTGACCTCTGTCCGTGTGTGTGTGTTTTGTCACGTAGGGGAGCGGTAGTGCAGCAGTTAGCACTACGCTGCGCTACAAACCCGGCGACCCAAGTTCGATCCCCGCTCACGGCCAACACCAGTGACGATTATCTGAACCCGGTGCTGGGCCTCCTCCCCTAGGTCAACTCAGCCTCAAACGAGTACCGAGTGCGGTGTGTAAACATCGCCACTCGGGAGACAAAGGCGGCCGGGTGTGGTGTTGGCCACCCCACCCCCTCGTGCGCCGTTGCGGCCTTAATAGGTGCTCGCTAACAGCACTTGCCCCAACAGCCTGTTATGCCTATTGGGGCCGTCCATAAATGACGTCACGCGATTTTGGACGATGTTTTACCCCCCTCCCCCGTCACACGGCGTCACAAAACGTCAGACCCCCCACCCTCAAATATGACGTCACAAAGCTCTGCCCCCCCCCCCAAACCATATTTCCATTTTGAAAATAAAACATGCTTCAAATCGCTTTAAACTATTGTCATTGTAGTGCGTATTTAATGTGGCGCTGCACTCTGATGTTGTAGGAGAAAATTTTTATTAAAAAGTCTATTTAATTAAGTAGAACGTGTTGTTAATATGTATTTAAAGTTGCGCATTTGATGTGACACATTTCTCAACCCCCCCCCCCCTCGTCACACATCGTCACAAATGTCTGACCCCCATCTCCCCCCCCCCCCCCAGGTGCGTGACGTCATTTATGGACGGCCCCATACGGGGGGATCTTTGTCTTTGTTTGTCACGTGCGCACCTGCCCAGGTGTGGCAGGGCAGCCCGACGGCTCAAGCTCACCCCCTTCTGACTGTGGCGGTACTGCACCATTTCACATTGATCGCTTAGCACCAGGCATGTAATGGTAACAATACATTGATTCATCTTTCTATATGTTTAAGAGAAAAAAATTTGTATTACTCTACGGATAAATGTATGAAAGCGTGCGCGTCAATCTAACGGAGCGAACACAACGACACAAACGAGACGTACAAATGGGAAGAAATTATTCGGCCAAGATGAGACGCTAAATAGTTGGTTGTTGAACTGAAATTGCAACTTGAATTGTGGCAATTCGTGGAATCTTTGGCCAGGGGGCTGAATTGTTGGTATTTTTTGACAGGCATGGCATTTTGACTGAGTTAAGCACGACAAATTTAGCCTCAGCAAGAGATCACAAACAGCGAAAACTTTTTTAAAATTAAATTTCCATTTACGTTATGGCAGAATGGTTAGAAGTGCAATATGGACCCGGCTTCCAAAGTTTGATTCCCCGGTCACGGCTAACATCAGTGGCGAGGGATACCCGAAGCAGTCCTGGACCTGCCGTCACCATTCTGCTCGGACGAACTTGCAGTATTATAAAACACCCCTTTCGCTTCGTGGGGAGGCCTTGATCCAGCAGTGGATTGACAAGACGTCTGTACATTGTTGTTATGTTAAAAACACATCTGCGGTACTGAAATACAATGGGATTGCTCGTGCAACGTCATGGGAGTCTTTTTTTAATAATTATTTTCACATACGCAGATGAGCAGCAATAGATGTGTCTTGTTAGCATGGTATAAGTTAATACTTGTTAAAGTGCACATACTACCGAGTGACAAAGGGGCAGCCCTGCAATTGCTTGCTCATGCCACTGCTAGTGCAATAACTTCCACTAAACACAGCCGCTGAAGATGGCATTTGGCCGACGCTTCCATGTTGACCAGACAACTTGGGAGGCGGGTGGGGGGACCCGCGCTTTACCCCCACCACACGTGACCGACTGATCAGCCCCTTGACACTGTTGGGTGGACAGAGGCGAGCGGGGGGAGGGGATTTAAGAATCTTGCACCGTGGTTTCAACCGCCATGTCAGGTGATCAAAGTGAATCTGTGACTGGAGTGCAAGTCGAGCGTTGCTCTCCGTTACACCGTGGAAACATCCTCCAAGTTCCAAAATCCCTCCCCCCAAATAAAATACTACGACAAGATGTGTATTATGTAGAATTTTTTTGTAGCCAACCGTGCTAATCGGATATATTCAGTAGTATTCGATCTCCAATCAATTACCATAAATAAACGATCACATTTTGATCAGGCTTGATATGTTATATTTTCTCCGGTTTTGATTACGTATTTACAACATTCGTGTAGTTAGTGCATACAAGCAGGGCAAAATGTATCCAACCACAACAGTGGTTACATTTTGATAATATTCCTTCACCAGTTAACTCATATTTGTAACCCACCACCACGCCTCCCAATTTTTTTTACTTCTAATTAAAATAATATGTTAATGATTGGGCAAGTAATAAAACTAGTCCACCAAGTACATGCTTGTACAATTGTATACACTTAATGAATAATAATAATAAATTTTCCATCTGAGAAAAATATACATTCAAATTACTCCAAATTAGTTGATTGAGATTTGTTGAAAATACTTATTTTAACTCGCAACCATCACTGGCATGGCATGTGGAGAAAATGTATCACTGTAAAACACCCCCGCTGATCGAAATGTATTCTAACCCTGCGATGAGAGATGTGATGCTAAACTGCAGTGAATTTAAAAGCCAGTTACACCATCTATTATATGTACAATTAATTCGGTACAGACAAAATGACAACACATTCCTACCGTGATCCCGGGAATCAGCGTCGTTGGGTACATGTGTGTGGAATTTCAACTCACGAAAACCCGAAAGTCAAATCCACACGTGGAAACAGACGGATTCAACGGAGATGTTCTGGTTCATGTGTGGCAGGTTGTTTGAGTTCAAGTGACGGCTGAAATTTTTAGGCAAGGTCCATTCCTGGCACCGCCACTGAAATTGCCATTTCATTTGCAGCTGTAACGCATTGATTTCTGTTTCTATTTAAGATCAAATTCACCACATCCTCGGTAACTTAAGGCACGCTAAGGTCCACTCCCACATGGCTCCGAAGCCATTCGTACATTGATCCATAATAGAGGTTTTTTTGGGGTTCGATCGCGTAAATATAGAAATGTGTTGTTAAACCCGCCACCACCCGACACAGCCAATTAGTAAGATGTGTCACGTAAACAGAACATGCCAATACATTACAAATACAGCACACCGGCGTGTTGGAGAGCCAAGCCACAACATTTACAATCGGAGTACGACGTTTCGCCAGTAATTACAACCAGCTTCATCAGGCGACAGCCAGATTTGTGGAGAAATCCTCCTGTTTCGTTCCTTAGATAGAGGGGGAGATGTGATGACATCACTTTGGAGCCATGCTTGAGTGATGTGGGGGGGGGGGGGGGGTAACGACGCATTTATATATTTACACGATCTAACCCAAAAAACCTGTATTATGGATGATATTGGTCGCGAAAACCTACGTGTTAAACTCATACATTTATGTTTCAGCGCCAATTGATTTCCGAAGCAGTTGTTAATAACGTTTGTGAAATTCTCGTGGTGATTGCGAGTGCGAATTTGATGCACACCACGTCAAGAAATAATTTGCCCTCGCAAGGAACATAAGAAATATCAGCAAATTGTTTTGCCCCGTACATCTGCATGCTCCAACCAATGGTATAGTTACACCCTCTCAAAGATGGAACACAACACAGTTATTGCCGCACACTCACGCACGCCTTGACCTATGTTCAATTACAATCAAACGATCTTCAGCACAACATTTGGTGTCATCTTTCCAACGTGGCTGTGTACATGGGAAGGCTTCCAAGTACGAAAGGCCTAATCCTCGTACGACCATAACTGCTGTATTCTCCAGAGTATAATGATGCACAATTTCCCCCCCTGTATGTTAAAGCAACAGTTGGTGGTATGTGTCTTGCAAATCCGGGACATGTTTTTATTACATTGTTGAGAATCATCTTAGAGAAGATCATTCTTCCAGAAGACGATTATCCAAAGCGAAACATAACAGTTCAATAGAGCGAAGATTATCACCAGCCATTCTGAATGATATTCTAGAAGACACGGCTCCCCATTTTAAAGGATCACATTCGCAATGGTCTTGCGGAAGACGTGCCGCATTCATCCCGATAATTAAAAGCACTTCACTGTGTTGTCAAATTGTCACCGAGAGTTGTGGCGTATCCTGCTTATACGGGATGTGTTCCCGAGTTCAAAATTGGCAGCATTGTCAAAGTGAGAACATGTCTGTTACCACTCTCCAGGTCAGGTCACCCCATCAAAATAAAACAAAATGCATTTTGGGAAGAGGGATTTTTGTTTCAGTTTTTTTTTGCAGATTTTTGACGCATCGTTTTGGTTCTCAAGTGATAAGCAGAATGTATGTATGTTGAACTTCTTTCACACCATGCGTAGACAACCATGCCAAACGGCAAAAGCATTTGTAAACACATTAATGGCATGATAATCAAATAATACGATGGTAACGTTCAAACTGAAATTTCACAGTTAGTAATTTCACATGTAATATTTAACAGAGGAACAGCTGCTAAATTGGTATGCCTCTACCAGTAAATATATAATTAACCATTCCAATTCAAGAGCAGTTCTTGCACAACGCATACGTGTGAGAGACTCGTTTATGGTGCGTTTAATAATCGCAATAATAAATGTCCTGAAACCGGTAAGATCCATGGAGAGTCTCAAGACTCATCTTCTTGGTTCTTTCGGTAAAGTTACGTAGAAGGGAAATAATAAAATAATAAAAGTAAAACATATTTCTCTTATTTTATTATTAAATAAAACATCTTTTTTATTTTTATTATTTCCCTTTTACGTGACTTTACCGAAAGAACCAAGAAGATGAATCCCTGCAGTCACGAAAGCTTTAAATCGAAATTTAGTCTCAAGACTCGTTTTTTTCAGAATGGCTCCGTATTGGGTCGTTTGACCCATTCAATTTCCTTGCAGATCTGCCACCCTACACCCACGCTTGGCTGCCTCCCACGACAAAAACAGCATTACCACCACACTGCAGGCCAACAACACTTCCATAGCTATATTCTTGGTTCTTTCGGTAAAGTCACGTAGAAGGAAAATAATAAAAATATCAAACAATAAAAATTCTCACGACTTTTCGACTGCAACACAAGCAATCATCATCAGGTGTGAAATCCACAGCAAGAAAATGTTATTGTTTTATATTTTTATTATTTTATTATTTCCCTTCTACATGACTTTACCGAAATAACCAAGAATATGAATCCCTGCAGTCACTAAAGCTTTAAATCAAAACTTCCATAGCTGTCAACCCATACGGTTTACCCCGTATTCTTGTACAGGGAAATTGAGTTTTCAGGTCCATACGGCGTACAACCGTTAACACGGGCAAAAATAGTTTTCGTCTATTTGTTTGTGTTTCTCCCTTGAGATGGGATTTTGTAGGATGAACGTTGAGATTTATAAGGGCACGGGGTGACCAATACGGTCTGAATTGGTCTGTAATAAGGTAGGGCACTGATAAGGGATTGACCGGTATGCTCTTCTCTCACAGATTAGTTCCCCGCGCTGCTCGACTTTGAGCTTCCCTCTCATTGTCTCCTTTGAAAAGTTCTTACAACCTTGAGATCAATTTAAAGAAACATTAACTTTTATCAATTTAACCTTCAGCAGTGCTGTTTGCTGCTGGTCGTCTAGCATTTTGGCATGGGCGGAGTTTGTGGGGGGGGGGGGGGCACAGGGTGGTGGGGGGCGGCAGGGCAATGCCCTGCCCAAAACTGGACACCTTCATGAATTTATTTTCAGTAGTTTACAATTAAGATTTAAAATAAATTAATTGTATGCACCCGTGATCCCTAACGTGAGGGACAAAGCGAACCCCTGCGCCCCCCCCCCCACCAGATATAGCAATCAAACTCCACCTGTGCATTTTGGGCATGTGCCCAGCAAACCACGATGACGAAAAAATAAGAGGGAGATAATGGCTCCTGGACCATGCTGCCGGTGTTGCCTAGCAACCCGTGGCGGCCATTACATCAATCGGTGTTGCCTAGCAACCGCGGTAGCCATTACATCAATCGCTCTGGGAAATGGCGAGCGTGGGCCCCTTGGGGTCGTCAAAGCGGTCGAGCGTGGTGATGGCGAGGATCTTCTGCACGCCGTAGGTGAGGATGAGGACGAGTACTGTGGTGGACACGAGGAACATCCAGATGGCCGGCGTGAAGAAGCTCGCGCAGTCGCTGGCGTAAGAGAAGCTCGAGTTGCCCACGTTGAAGCCTTGGATCTGGGCGAGGGGAGCGAGGTGGGGGGGGCACACGCAGGGTTTCATAATTAAGGGGATCACATCAACTGCGTAGTCCATTAGCGTAACGAGCGTGGGGGGCATGGGGTGCCTTGCCCCACAAAGCTACGAGTTGGGGCCCCCTTTGACAAGCACCATGAGATATTTTTGATTTTAAGCTTCCGTGACTGCAGGGATTCATCTTCTTGGTTCTTTCGGTAAAGTGACGTAGAAGGGAAATAATAAAATAATAAAAATACAACATAGTAAATACAATTCTCACGACGTTTCGGCCACAACGCAAGCAGCCGTCCTCAGGTGAAGAACAGGTCTGTCGGAAAGACAGCGTCATATGAGATATGTTTTCAACAACAGTGTAATAGAACAAAACCTTATTTGAAATGGAGCGCCCCTACAGTGTGATCGTAACGATGTGATGAGGCAAGAGGAACCGCGATATATATATCGTAGGTGCGACCGTGCGAGACAAATCAAATATTGGGGCCCAACCTGACTAGTTACCGCATCCTCTGAGCTGATAATGTCGTTACTACGCCACTGGCGTGTAGACGGAAGCAATGGAGAGGGGTTCACGATGATCAATACTCGCGTTGAATTGTTCTGACCACACACTTCAGGCAGGAGGGGTTGGACTTTGTGAGATGGACGTGGCAAGAACCACAGGCAGGGACACAGAGATACAGAGACAGAGAGATACAGAGACAGAGAGACAAAGCCGGGGAGACAACACGAGACCAACACAGGGAGATATCGTGCACCCCTCTTCACCAGCCCGCACCAACCAGCGTGCTGAAGCATCGTCAAGCAAAGGCCCATGACCACACAGCATTGGGAGGCCTTCATCCAATAGCGGATTGACAAAGGGCCGTACATTCGTCGTTACTAATTTATTAATTGCGCAGATTATAATTATAAGTTCTGCAGCGATTGGGCGCGGCGATGCTTACCTTATCTTGCTGAGAGATATATAAATACAAAGCTACCCTTACCGCGCTACCGGGTCAGGGAGGACCGGTGGCAGCCGGCACTAAACGTCGATGACACCGCCGCTTCGCCGGCCCTCACCTGGAAATCCTGGAACGTGACGGTCCACTCGGAGGCCTGTGGGTTCGCGGCGTACAGGTAGCCTCCGTAGTAGGAAGACGAGCTGAGGAACTGGCAGTGGTAGGAGAAAGCCTCGAGCGACGAGATGTACGTGGTGTTGAAGGTGGCCGTTGTGTTTTCCGCGTACTCCAGCTCGAAGGATTTTACGGAAAACCAGTTCTTCTTTGTCACTTGGTAGTACTGGTTTGTCATGACGAACCTGCAAAAGCAATTGTGTGTTTTTTTTTTAAATCCTTTATATTAAGTTCACTTGCTTGCTTGCTTGCGCGCTTACGACCGTGCAAATTTTTCGGTCGTTTTTTAACCCACTTCCCGTGATCCAATCGAGCTGACATTTTGCACACAGACTCGTTGTGCGTGACAATTTATTTTCGTGAAATTTTTTTTCCTAAATTTTACACTTTTTAGGGAAAAATTAATTATATTTAATTACCAATTGCTTAATGGTAGCAGGCAATCATCTGACCCATAGGTGGCAGCCATCTCAAGCCAGAGGACGAGAGGACTCTAGCCGCCACGCATATAAAGGATTTATAGTGAAAAACTTTGTTTTTACGGGTTAATTTTTTTAAGTATAATAACGTGTATTATGATATTGTATCCCCGCACCTCCGCTTAGCAGGTTGGCTACGTTTGGTGCGAAAGAGGTTCACCGTACGTTGCTATTCGACTCCTGCGTTTGTGAAATATTTTCAGGAGAAAAATGCCAATTTCGAGGTCTGCTAGCCACGACGAGACTGGCATCAGGAGAGAGATCGTGTTCGGCAGTATTTTTTACAGAATTTTTGACGAATGTGAAATTTTATAATTGTATCCATTCTCTATCCACTGTTGGTTGATGGCTTTTATTGCTTCTTGTAGTTTTGTGCATCTTCAACACAATTGTATGTCTCCACATGCAAAAGCAGCATCGCTCCTAATAACCTTTATATAAAACATACGTAAGAACCGACAGCATAAGGACATATTGCATGTAATTGTTTTGCTATAATTTTTGTTCACTTTTGAAATGTTTCATACGTTTGCAATTTTCCTTTCTAAAACGTATAAAAAAAATCACGAAACATTTTTTCACCAAATAAATTATAAAGTTATTGTAGGATTTTTATGACTACAACAAATGTTTTCACCCTGCTGTAAGCAAATGTTTACATGCTTTAAAGAAACCTTAGGCACTTACCGCAACGTCAAGTAAGGAAATGTTGATACGTTGTTATACCTTAAGGAGAGACTGCAACAAAATTCATAAAATATGGTCAAGCACAATGGATGTACGTATGCTCACTTATACGACATTCACTTTCAGCCCTCTGAAGATCTACAAATGCCATGGGAGTTGCATGACCATACTTCACCACACTCATCATTGACGGTTGGTGAAGGGGAGTGCTCAGGACGGATTCAGACGTCACCCGCCGCTGATGTCAGCTGTGACCGGGTACAGGAGTTGGAGACACTGGGGTGGACCAGTGGCGCAGTGGATAGGGCAATGCACTACGAACCCGGTGGCCTGAGTTTGAGTCTTGGCCAAAGCGAACATCATCGCGAGCGAGGCACGAAGCATTCCTGGACATCACTCCACCAAACCAACACCAACCAGCTTGGTGAAGTATGGTCATACAACCCTTATGGGGCCGTCCATAAATGACGTCACGCGATTTTGGACGATTTTTGACACCCCCCCCTCGTCACACGGCGTCACAAAATGTCAGACCCCCCCCCTCAAATATGACGTCACAAAGCTCTGCCCCCCCCTCCCCCCAAAAAATAAAACATGCTTCAAATCACTTTAAACTATTGTCAACATTTATCAAAAAGTCTATTTAATTAAGTAGAACGTGTTGTCTATATTTATTTAAAGTTGCGCATTTTGATGTGACGTCACATTTCTCAACCCCCCCCCCCCCTCGTCACACATCGTCTAAAATGTCAGACCCCCCCTAGGTGCGTGACGTCATTTATGGACGGCCCCTATGACCAACATGACATGGGGAAGCCTCTCATCCAGCAGTGGATTGGCATAGGACTGTAAATTATGATTGCTTAATAAATTAATTATAAACGTATAAAAACGTTGGGTTGCTCGGTCAATGGCCAGGGTCAACGACGGCGTGGTGTATTCCGCAAATATGCCCGACTGTGAGGGCGGGCACAAGCCGGCGTGAGTAGGTTAAACGTTGAGTTTTATAAGGACACCACGGGGTGACCAGCTCCTCCCCACCAAGCCCCACCCCTCCCACCCCCCACCCTCCCCACCCAGCCCCTCCCCACTCCCCCCACCCAGCCCCTCCCCACCCTTCCTACCCAGCCCCGCTCCACCCTCCCCTCCCCACCCAGCCCCTCCCCACCCAGCCCCTCCCCACCCAGCCCCTCCCCACCCAGCCCCTCCCCACCCAGCCCCTCCCTCCCCACCAGCCCCTCCCTGCACGACGGACACAATAATCCCCTGTGGGCTGGTGTAACCAGGAGGTTCCTACCAGTACAAACTCGTAAACAAATATAATTCAGTTTTACTGTTTGCAATACAAATTCATGGACATTCGCAGAATTGTGCGTGCTACGCTCACAGGAGCACAGATCGATCAGGATGGCCATTTCATGACGAAGGGTCACCCCCTCAAAAAAAAAAACTTTCACGAAAAAAGTCTCAAACACAACAAACGCACGTGGCATTGTCGCTGCTGCAGCTGGAGCCACTGAGGTCAACGACGCTGTTGTTGAAAGTCAAGTCGGCCAGCTCAATGTGAACCGCTTTGCCACCAGCCATTTCAGTATACACCAGGGTGATGTTGGACGCCCAGAAGAGAATGCAGCTCCCGTTGTTGTCACTGAACGCCAGGGGCTTGTAGTTGCTCTGCGTGACCGTTGAATCGACCGCCAGGAGCTTGCGTCCTCTCGACACGTCGGAGGGGTTGCCCAGAGACGCTGAGCTGCCAGCCACCTGTAGCAGCAGCGGACCAGCCAAGGCAGAGACACGTGAGCTGGCATTGTGTCTAATGGTCACTTCTTTGTATGTTTGATTTTAAATAAAACAAATCCGACCATCACACGTGGCCCCCCCTCCCCGCCACCGCCCCGGGTAATTAGCCGCTCGCAATTTCGATGCATGTTCACAAATGTGACCTTTACGCGTACAATATTTAACATCGCGTACATCCGCGAACTTCTACGGCACATGACCCCTCCGTGTTTAAAACAGTTTGCGCTGTGTTGACGGCCAGCAAACCGATTTGTGCCAGATGGGTGTGACTCTGTTTCTTTCGATGTTCACTGTAACACGTGGGAGGCTTTCGCGATCGATATCATCCACAATCGACGTTTTGTTGGGTTAGATCGTGTAAAAATATATAATGGTGTCGTTAATTAACTGTGAATAATCAAACCAATAATAGATATCCAGTGTGATTTATATTAATATAACCCCCCCCCCCCCCCTCTGGTCCTCGCACCTGATTGGTTCACAAGTGACGACATCACGTGCTTCCCTCTGTTTAAGACTGACACAGGACAAGAATGTCTCCACAACTCTGGCTGTGGCCTGATGAGGCTGGTTGTAATTACCGGCTAAACGTCTTACTCGAATCTTTAAATGTTGTGGGCTTAACTCTCCTACACACCGGTGTGTGCTGAACTAGACACGAATTGGCATGTTTTGTTTACGTAACAAACCTTATTAATTGGCTGTGTCGGGTGGTGGCGGGTTTAACGACACATTTACTTCAATGCAATCAAACCCAAAAAACCTCTATTATGGAGAGGTTCACTTATCTGATCTTTTTATTGATCCGCCCACACCTCATTTATCAGATAATTAACATTGTACTGTGTGTATGTAGAACTTCTTTCGCACCGTACGTAGCCAACGGAGGTGCTAGGTGGTGGGTGAAGGACAACAAACTAAACAGAAAAAGTAGCACTAAAGAAATGTGCATGAGTGTTATGCTGCAACGAGCAGAGGAGGGTACAATAAATGAATGCGGTGCTTTACCCTGGAAGGCCTCAGCGCAGTGTAAATAGCTGTGAAATTGATTCCACTAAACGTGAGGGTAGCCAGCGTATTTCCAATGATCTCGTCTGAAGAGAAAACAGTAAAATAACCATCGTACAGCACGTGGCAATAACAAAAACATGTATCCAGTAAACGCACGTTATCACTGGAATATAAACTACTTGCAGATGATTATGAGTATGTTGGTTTGTATAGGTGTAAGTTCATATAGTTAGGTAAAAGAATCATATCACAGTAGTTTATCAAAAGCTTCTAGTGCATTGTTAAGTCTGTTAACATATGCATCTGTAAAATAAAAACCGCGTACCATTTTCAGCGAAAGCCGCTCGTCTCAACGATGCAGAATCACTGCGGGATGAGAAAAACAAAGTTATTTTTATTCCTGCAAGCCGCATTATCACAAAACTGACACACAACGTTGGCCGCTATAAACATAAATAAACATGATTAACTTTTCATTTTAACACGTAGGCTTTCGCGCCCAATCTTATTCATAATAAAGGCTTTTGGGTTAGAGCGCGTAAGTAAAAATGTGTCGTAACCCTCCACCACCCGACAGCCAATTCTGTAAGAGATTTGTCAGTAAACAAAACGCCAATTAGTTTACTACTTCGTACTCAAATTGTAAATGTTGTGGATTTACTCTCCAACACACCGGTGGGCTGAAGTAGTAACCAATTGTCGTTTTTTTTTCGTAACAAATACCTTACTAATTGGCTGTGTCGGGTGATTAACTTTAATTTTTCGAATCTCTGAGATCATTCGGGAGGGTCGTTTTTTTTTTGCGATGTTCGACATCGCAAATGTACGTACCCGGCGGTGGCTGGCAGGCGGTAGACAACCAGGTTGGGCTGGTGTGGGTCAAGGTTGCGGGGCACTTGAGAGGACCCCAGACCCTCGTCAAACTCGCGCCTCTCTGGACCCAGCCGCTCTCGAGCAAACTCGACCACGGCAGCCGCCGCCTTCCAGTCCACGGCCGGCAGGAACAGCTTGGAGGCAGCCCGGCCGAAGAGGGCCTGGGTGGGAACAACAACAACAAACAAAAAACACGTGGCAGCACGGGGAAGTTTCAGGGGCACTGGGAAGGTAAGCGGGCTTGCGTTTCATTCACGAGCGAAAAGATGAATAGTCATATATTTTAATTAGCGCTGGTTGTGCCGTACTGCTCTCTCCGATGTGTTTTCGGGCTGTACCGCGTGTTGTCTGCCACGATGTCCGACGTTTCACTGGACGTGCTCAAAGCTTCTTTCAGGGATGCGGTGCAACTCTAAAACAGTTTTTAAATCGGTTTCTAAAATCGGTTTTCGGGACACCGTCTCGCCACTGTGACCTGGTACATGGGCAGGCGGCCGTCTGAGCACGGGCTCCTTCTCATACTACTTTTTGGGTTCTGGAGTTAAACGCAGAATAACGGAGACAATCTTTGAATATCGTACGTACATTTTAAAAAATATATTGTAAATCAGCCATCCATCAGTAGGTGTCGCTAGCTAACAATCGGTCTTGGGCATTATCCTCCAGGTACGGTGGCGCCTCTTGTAAAAACAAAAATGCAGATAGGAATGATTTTTTTGGCATTTACTGTATTTGGTGCATTCGAGTTGTGAGTTTTGACAATTTTTTTAAGTATTATACCAAATTCATCTGTGTGAAGCTCGGAGATTTTAAAAACCCATCAATTCTGCAAGCAGAGATGATTGTTATATTTAGCTATCCTTTCATCGTCATCATTATTATTACTGAAATGCTATCGGTGTATTACACAATGGTGTGTTACCAAAATCACAATTGTGATTGGAATTACAACGCAGTATTGTCAGACGACCAACACTGAAGCCAGTGCCAAATATATTACCTACGTGTTAACAAACACAGCATGCGAAATGATTAACTAACCTTGACATTTTTAAAGACACCCGTGTGTTTATCGTCATCGTGTACCGCTCCGTACTTTGTGAAGTCGTCAACGCTGAGCTGAAACACACACAAAGACAACAAGCGACACACGTGATCATGCAGTGTTAGCGAGAGATAGGATACGCTGTGAAGGAACGTCAACGTTCATCGACTACTCTCACACAATTGCCACCAACAAATGTTCACACCAACATAACGTGAGAACACTCCAACATTAATGACGATCGTGTGCATTTGGCCACACCGCTGTCAAATCAAAATACACCCCCAAAAAACCCACATTTATCTTGCTTTCGAATACTATTTTCCCTTTGCAAATATTTTGAATACCCCCCCTCCCCCCAAAAAATAGTGTATAGGTACGTGACGTATATCAATGGGGTGGCTATTTTTTATTCAAAACCTGCCTCGCGTCATGATGTAATACCACCTTCAAGATATTTTTAGTAAAAACGATGTCTTTTTAGCAAGGTGCATCTGCCCCAACACACAAGAGCTTTGAGTCTACGTATGTTTAGGACCGTCTTCAGCTGAGGTGGGCCGGTGGGTCGGGTGGGGCCGGTGGGTCGTGCACCACCAAATGTCCTTTTAACACAACTCCAAGTTCACTCTGCTAAGTGGTGGATCGCTAATACGGTGCCCCCCCCCCCCCACACCACAGCTCTACTGAGCCCGGCCCCCCACCATGTAGCTGGAGCCAGGCCTGCCGATTTATTGTTGTAACGTTCTAACCCCGTGCCCCTACTGGACATTCGTGAAAAAGAGCTTGATACCTCATCGGATTCCTCCAGTGCAAATAGATATTCTGATTGTGATTATGTATACGCACAACAATACTTTTTACAAATATTATTCTGTGGACAAGGCACAGGGCCTCTACCTTGTCAGCCGTAAGAGCTCCATCCCCCCTACACGTTGATGTTTATTGCACGCGAGTTGACGGCCCACTGGGACGATTGTTGAGACATTTGACAGCCGCGTATCGGCGGTGTCCCCACGGGCATTGCGGTTAAGGAACAGGTGACGACGGTAATGATTTCGATTTAAAGCTTTCGTGACTGCAGGGATTCATCTTCTTGGTTCTTTCGGTAAAGTCACCCTAGGACGGCTGCTTGCGTTGTGGCCGAAATGTCGTGAGAATTATTTTATGTTTAATTTTTATTACTTTATTATTTCCCTTCTACGTGACTTTACCGAAAGAACCAAGAAGACGGTAATGATGACCACAACTCAACGTTGGAAGCGTTCGCGCAGCGGTATGGAATCATGCAGCAACAACAAAAACACACGCACAACTTTGTGGAGAACCCGACATGGCAACGTGGAATTCTCCTCAAACAGTTCTGTACAAGGGAGATGAGTTTCGATTTAAAGCTTTCGTGACTGCAGGAATTCATCTTCGTGGTTCTTTCGGTAAAGTCACGTAGAAGGGAAGTAATAAAATAATAAAAATAAATATAAAACATAATAAAATAATATAAAATAATAATAATATAAAAAAATATATAATATTATGTTTCATTTTTATTATTTTATTACTTCCCTTCTACGTGACTTTACCGAAAGAACCAAGAAGAAGGGAGATGAGCTTTACCGCATGGTGTGATTGAGTGGGGGGGGGGGTGAGGGGGGAAACCACTGCGGTGAACTTTCCAAACGGCCGGTCACCTTGTCCTGCATGAAGATGACGAGGGAGGAGCCGGGCTGGACGGCGCGTGACAGGTGCACGTACAACTCGGACGTCTCCACCACGTGGCCCGCACTGGGTGGATGGTGCCCTCCCCAGTCCAGCCTGCAACACGACGGTGGTGTTCATTCTAGATTTGAAGCTTTCGTGACTGCAAGGATTCATACTCTTAGTTCTTTCGGTAAAGTCACGTAGGTAAAAAATTAAATTAAAATTTATAAAAATAAAACAATAAAATCACGACGTTTCGGAGGCAACACAAGCTTCCGTCTTCAGGTGAAACCGTCACAGCAAAATATCTTAACCACTATATAAGGTACAGATATTTTGCTGTGACGGTTTCACCTGAAGACGGAAGCTTGTGTTGCCTCCGACACGTCGTGATTTTATTGTTTTATTTTTATTAATTTTAATTTCGTTTTTTACCTACGTGACTTTACCGAAAGAACTAAGAGTACGACGGTGGTGATGGTGGTGGAGCAGAAGAAGACACCAATGGCTAAGCAGCAATGGAGGAGGAGGAGAACAAGGTGGTCGTACATGAGTGGTAAAAGATTTACCTAATGACAGGGTGAGAGTCAGGGATGGATGTCGTGGTGGGTGTCCAGATACCCCCACCCCCAAAAACGTTTAGAGGTAACCCGCAACATTTTTTGACAGAAATTCGTGGACTTTTTGAGTCTGCCTTTGTGTCTCTCAACAAGGTGAACAAACGTGCTGATTATGCTGATGACTGAAGCCTTAAATACACTGGACCGCACCAACAGTAGACTCAATGTGCCAATAGTTGCATATATTTAATACACAGTAGAGTAATTATTGTGATGTAGAGCTCGGCTTATCTGTGAAGCAGTAGGGGGGGAAGGGTTTCGAATCTCCACAGATCCCTTCAGTAATCTGATGAATAACCATCGCTAGTCGGACAACTACAACTTCCACAGCGTTGCTGCGTCCCTGATGGAATCCCACCGAGACCAACCACTCGGTTTCAAACTCGAGTGCACTTGAGGTCGGCCTGATTTATCACGGCGCAGGTTGAGTTTGTAAAAATAAGAAAAACAATAGTGGCACTGTCTTTCCATCATCACGAGTCGGGCATGTCATCGATATTTCCACTTGGTCGAAATTCAGATTTTGAATTCTGATTTCCTTTCACAGGCAACACACTGATAAAACAAATATATAAAAAACGTTCGGCCATACATCCCTCCCGAAAAATAATCGTGAGACTTGGTGAATTATTATGTTATATAAATAAGTTACAATTACTTTTGTCTACAGGTGCAAAATCCCGCGTGTCCGATTGTGTAAACACCTCGAGTGGACGTTTCGTTCACGGCACTGTAAAGTCGTGTGCCGTGACTGGTGGCACAGTGGTTCTGCACTATGAATTCGCCCAACTCAGTTCGATTCCTAGCCACGGCTAACATCAGTCATCATCATCATCATCACGATCATCATCACGATCATCATCACGATCATCATCACGATCATCATCATCACGATCCATGGGCAGATAGCCCGCAGGCGTCCACTGCACATTTCGCCGTTTCCACTTCCCTTTCTGTTTTGTGCCACAGAGTAGTGAGTGCCACGTCTTTCTAACATCAGTGGCGAGTGATGATAACTGAACCAGTGCTAGGCGCCTCCGCTCCTCTTTATAAATCCACGTTGACCGGCGTGGCGAAGTTCACCTTAAAAGGCCCCGAAAAGCAACATGGCTTTGGGAAGCAGTCATCCATCAGTGGATTGATTTATATATTTTAAAAAAAGGATCTGAACCTTTCTTCAACGTTGTCCAGTAGTTGTTTAAAGCGGAATACATTTAAGGGTGGACAAACACAAACACACACACGTGTAATGTTTAATGCTAATAGGGTACAGCATATCTTTACAGTATTCATTGGTGCGTGGGGGTCGACGGGGTCACGATTTGTCCTTACCAAGACGAACGCTTAAGCATTGGCGTCTGTTGCTCGATAAGCAGTGGGACTTGGCTTATCTCCCGACTCGATCGGCACTTCCACACGCCACAAGCGGCACGGGCTGCCCTCCTCCAGAGCTCACGGCAGAACCAGACAGACTGGCTGGACCACCCCCCCACCTCCCCAACCCCTTTTGCAAACAATCCGCATACTCAAGGTCGCGACGCCTGCCGCTAGCAAGAGTATAGACGGGCATGCCAATGTGTCGTCGTACTACTTACTCTACTACGCATACGTGTGCGATGCTGCCCGTTGTTTAACGGGTTCGCCGTCTCGGTTCGATCTCCGGGCGCGGCAGTTGAATCAGTGGTGCGTTGTTTCTTAAAATATCCCCCCCGCCAGAAAAACTATGTTCCACGCAGCATTATGATGTGGGCACACCGTAGCGAGTCGAACGGAATGTCACAACGTTGTTGTTGTTGGTGTAAAAGGTGGACATTCCCAAAAGGGTGAATTGGCATGGTCTGTTTTGGGTGTCGGGAATTGATTGATAAGGAGATGTGGGGGGGGGGGGGTTGTGTTTTCTTCCCTGGTGGCGTTTGACCCGCTCAAACATACGCTGCTGGGAAATATCTGCTTGGCTCTCGGAAAGGTGGATGAAATGTCGTTGTTGTTGTTGTTGCAGAGAATTAACAAACCCCTTTTCCTGTTCGTTAAAATAATGGACTTGTTGACGTACGCGTGGTCCATCGGTCGGAGGATCTACAATTCGAATGCTTTAACGAGGTCGACCAAAAGGCCGGACGAGATATCTCTCACGTGTCGCTAGCGCCTGAAGTGGCATTAACTTTCATGGTTTCAATGTCTATATATGGCCAGTAACCACTAATTGTGTCGTAAACATTTGGGTTGTATAATCCACTCTCATTCGCCATTTAACAACGCATACCTGTCAACCCCTTATCAGTGCCTACCTTGTTACAGAACAATTCAGACCTTATTGGTCACCCCGTGCCCTTTATAAATCTCAACGTTCATCCTACAAAGTCCCATCACAAAGGAGAAACACAAACAAATAGACAAACGTTGTTTAGCCCGTATTGAAACGGCTGCGCGCCGTATGGACCTGAAAACTCAATTTCTCTTTACAGGAATACGGGATAAACCGCATGGGTTGACAGCTATTTTACGACTAAAGTTGAAATCTACATTGAAAACCAATTTCTTGAGAACAGTTTTTATGCGCGTGTTGACTTTGTTGTCCTTCCCCACACCTCCGATTAGAACGGTTGGTTAAGTACAGTGCGAAAGAAGTTCAACATACATACATACAAGTTCTTGGTTCTTTCGGTAAAGTCACGTAGAAGGGAAATAATAAAATAATAAAAATATTAAATAATACAATTCTCACGACGTTTCGACTGCAACACAAGCAATCATCATCAGGTGTGAAATCCACGGCAAGATAATTTTCTTGCTGTGTATTTCACACCTGATGATGAACGTCGTGATAATTTAATTGTTTTGTATTTTTATTATTTTATTATTTCCCTTCTACGTGACTTTACCGAGAGAACCAAGAATATGAATCCCTGCAGTCACGAAAGCTTTAAATCAAAACTTACATACAAGTTATGCCATATTGTGTTGTATACAAATTGTCTGCTCTCGTACCATGGATCAGGGTGAGAGCGCACGGATATCCAGGCGAGGGACGCACGGAAAGTATCCAGGTGAGAGACTCACTGGGGTAACCAGGTGAGTGGCCATTAGGATTGGTCGCTCACTTCGCATGCGAGAACTGAGGTGTAAGGAGTCGATAAAGCAACACAAGTTATTTAGTTATTTGGTGATACAGTACTGCGTAGGCAATTGATGCACTGTCAAAAAAAATAGCAAAGCAATTCACACGTTCGTCAATAACAGTACGGTATGTGAACAGCACGCTGATCAATCTGAAGCTCAGTGATGCAGACACAACGCCAGTCAAGGAGGTCTGGCTCGGACCAATGCATCGTGACACCTGGAGGGACATTTGAAAATGGACTTTGATGGCTTTCGTGACGAGTACTACGAAAAAGAAAAATCGTACAAAGGATTGATGTTTATTATATATTAATATTTTTTTAAAATGGTATGTCATCCTGAAACGATATATCACGTATTTGTATCTCCATTCGTTCTCTTTTAAGGCAGTGGTTTGACGGATATGGTGAGTGTTGTGTTGCACACAGACACGATCAGAGTTTACATTTTCAAAAAAAAAGTATTTGTGTTTTGTATGCCCCGAAGATTGTGCGCGTTTGACATTTTAAAACACAGTTGGATATTTTTGTTTTATTACGTCCCGCAAATAAAATGCTTTTAAAATTAAATTGTTCTTCAAGAGGGGAGCAGGTTACATTGGCCTATCATACAGCAGCAATTTATCAATATGCACTGATTCTCGTGAAAAAAGTCACATTGGTGACCTCACAACTGCTGAAGGAGTCAATTCACTGTTGCAGGCGATGGATGAGGGATGGCACAAGCGGTTCGCGCACTGCACGATGCAACCTACAGCATGGGTTTGATTCCTGTCCACGGCTAACATCAGTGAGCTCGTGATACATCACTAGCTAAATCACCAACTCGCACTGGCCAGCACGGTGTAGTATGGACACACACACACACACCCGTGCGATTTGAAGTTTTCGTGACTGCAGGAATCCATACTCTTTGGTTCTGTCGGTAAAGTCACGTAGGTATAAAAGAAAATAAATTAAATCACGACGTTTCGGGCGCAACACAAGCTGAAGATTTCATTTCAGCAAGTGTGTCTTGCTGTGGTTGTCCCACCTGATGACGGACGCTTGTGTTGCCCCCGAAACGTCGTGATTTAATTTATTTTATTTTATACCTACGTGACTTTACCGAAAGAAGCAAAGAGTATGTAAATTTTGTTTTTATCCGAGTTTGAGCACGAAATATAACTAAATATAATTTGCCTAGCTTCATAGTTATGCTGAATTTGTTGAAAAAAGGACATGGCCATGTCTGACCCAGCCAGCAGTGTGTTGACAAAGAGCAGAAATCCTGCCCGCGTGTCTCGCCACGATTATAAAGCACTCTCCGTCGAGTCAACATCTTGTCTAAAATGAATCGTGTTAAAATAATAGCCTCCGAGGTCAGACAACGCCACCTTCGGTCAAGCCTCCTTGAGTGTCGAGATAAAAAAAAAATGCTCAGGTTTTTTGTTGTTGTTGCACACCGCTGCATGTCAGGGTTTTGTTCACGGGGTGGTGAGGGGGGGGGGAAGACGAGGCCACTCACCGCTCGTGAGACCAGACGAGTAGGGGAACTTGATCCACGGACATCACTCCACGCAGACACAGCAGCAGCAGGCCAAGCGAGGAGCATGCCATTGCTCTATCACTCACTCTGTCACGGGCTCTGTCTGAGCTTAGCCTATCCTGTCTCTCTGTTAGCGTGGCTCTCTGTCTTTGCTGTCCTGTTTTCCCCGGTCAGCTGCGTATTTCTTGCCTTTCTGTCAAACTTGGCACGTCTGTCTGTTAGCTTGGTGTCTGTCTCGCTTATTTGGCGTTCGTGTCCTGTTGGCCTTGTTCTGATCTCTCTGCCTTGTCTGTCGTGTCTGCCCGGTCTGTCTATCTCGCTCAATTTATCCTACGTCTCTCTCTAAGTCACTCCACCCTGTCCACGTGTGTCTTCTCTCACTCGATCACCTTGCAAACTCCCCTCCTCCCTCCTCTACCTGTCCGCCAAGCGATATCACCGTTCTCTGCTCTCTCCCCCAGCTTATTCTCTCTCTCACCCCACACACCTCAATCAGCCCTGCCAGTAGCGAGCAAGGCTTATAAAGCAGCAGCGTCGGTAGGCTACGCAACTGCCCCATTCGCCACAGGCGCACGTGGGTACGCACGAGATGATTGCGGTCGTTACCGCTCCAGCCCAGATTAGGGCTGGAGGCAGCAGGAGCAGCAAGCCACCCGTTGTTGTGCGACACACACGGCTCGCGCGTGGTGGCTCTGATCTACATGAGCCAACAATGCTCGTGTTACTTTGCACACACACACACAGAGAGAACATTTTAATGGATTTTGGTGAATGTTTTTTTGACTGTGGATACTTTGCTCCGCAGCTTCGCCCGCTGACATTCTTTCTCTCGTTCGTTTCGAAGGGGATATGAAGGCAGATTCTTAGGTTTTTTCCGGTAAAGTCACGTAGGTAAAAAATTAAAAGTAATAAAAGTAAAATAAAATACTTGATACAGCAAGCGTACTGTGACGGTTCCACCTGAAGACGGAAGCTTGTGTTGCCTCCGAAACGTCGTGATTTTTTAAATTTTACTTTTATTAACTTTAATTTTAATTTTTTACCTACGTGACTTTACCGAAAAAAACCTAAGAATATGAATCCTTGCAGTCACGAAAGTTTTAAATCTAGATATGAAGGCAGGTTTCTGACTTCATTCATTCCAGAGCAGCGGTCATGTGCATCTCGGCATGGCCAAGGAGATGCGCTTGAGTGGATAGTTTGGTTACGGAATAGAAAACAAGTCCGCGAAGTGCGAGCGAGAAAATGTTCAGAATCTATTCTTTTAAGCGGCATTACAGGTAATGGTGTAAAGATCATCTTGTACAATGTATAACTGTGTGTAACATCCAGCCAGGTAAGAGAGTGAGTAGCTTGCTATCGGAACGCTGCAAATTCAAATCCTGGTTGAGGGTTGACTCAGCCCATCATCCCTATAGGGATGATAAAATTGGTACCGCTTTGTGACAAAGTCAACAGTGGTTGTGCCTTGCAGAGATTTGCCCCTGTCCTAGGAAGGTGGTTTTCCACCACTGGCTCACGGCTGTGAACAGACGATGAGCGCCATCTGAATGGTCAATTGCAAAGTAAATTACTTTGATTTTATTTACTTTGTGTCGACTTATCAGCTGTTGTTCCATTTCCTTTGCCAACGGTGCGTCTTTCTGTTCCATATAGCACAGTGGAAAATGTGCACCGGTTGTAAACGTAGCACAGTTGGCTACGAACGGTGGGAAATAAGTGCAACATACATATGTTGCATGACATTACCAAATTAAACATTTCAAAAGCACTTCAACCTGTTCTCAGAAGTCTTGTTTAAATCTTAAATCTGGGTTTACCTTTAATAATAACTCACCTGAACATACACCTCCCATCCCCCCCTCACCTACAATTGGCTACGTACATCGGAAGCGGTGCGCCTCAAAAATCTATTTATTTTTTTGTTCAAGAAAACTTGTTGGCCGTGACTTTTGTGGTTTTGCCGATGTTTATCTTGAGCGCACACTTGGCAGCCATCTCCCGTATCTCAGAAGCACATTTGCATGGACGAATACAATGACACAAAAGCAGCAACGTAAGCGAATAAGTGTGGAGAAAGGAGGGCTATGCTTTGAATGACACCAATAGAAAGACGAACAATGGTATCGGAGAGCATGAGCAAGTTGGAGGACATCATATTGACCGTGAAGACGAGCAAGTCCTGGGCTCAATTACAGACAAACAACCACTCGATTGCCAAAGGGTGATATGTAAATATGTGTTGATTATAATTATCGTTGTTGTCTTAATTGTTTTGCTCAATATGCCCTTTATAGTTATGATATAAGTCTCAGAGTCAGAACAAGGCGATTCAGTTGCATTTAAATGCTGTTAAAATCCCAATTGTATTGTATATCCTTTGGTCAGGAATTTACTATTGATAAATTAGTGTATGGACACACACAGAGGGCATACTTTCCTTTGGTTCAGACAGGTGAGGGCAAAACAGTTCAGATAAAATATAAACTGGTTTATCAAGTCATGGTTCCTTCTTATCGCTTACGTCCCAGGGTTGATTTGAGGACTTAGAGACGAACTAGATCAGTTAGACAAGACACTCTACAAATCACACTTATCATTGACGGCAACAACGTCCACATCGGATTGGGAACATGTAGACAATATGACTGCCTCTTCAGTTGCCACTATGTCGATCAAATGTAAGGACAACTTGATGTCCAAATGTAACCTCCTCTCCAACAAAAGACCGGACCCGCACACCAAAAAGCTAGACGTTAACAAAGTCGTAATTAATCGCACTAACAGTTCTATTTCCGATGGTCTGAAATCCGTTTTAGCTAAAGAGCTAAACTTTGCAGTCACACCTAGACACATACCAGTTAATGGTATCATTGCCCAAGTAGACGTGCCTCTCAAGGGCCTGGGTCACATCGCTGCAGACGGAGCAAGATCTGAAATCGCTGCAACCCTCAAAAACGCTAAGATGCCAGCTAGCAACCTCAGCAAAGATGAGCGTTTTTAATTATATACATTTAAAAATAGGGATGACATTGTCATCCTCTCAGCCGACAAGGGCAATGCCAATGCCATCATAGATAAAATAGAATATAACAACAAAATTCAAGAATTACTTAACGATGGCAGTGATACAAAAATAAAAAGAGATCCCACCAACAGCCTCGTCATACAAACCAACAAAATCATTTCAGATTCAACTGCATTAATTGATCAAACCAAACAGTTCTCGTTGAAACCTTCTGCTGCCAGTTCACCAAGATTATATGGCTTACCAAAGATACATAAAGAAGATACACCCCTTCGTCCCATCGTCTCCACTATCAACTCCCCCACCTACAAACTGGCTCGTTTTTTTGTCTGAAATCCTGCTGCCTTTCACTGGAAAAAACACCTCTGCGGTACTAAACTCTACTCACCTGGTATCGACAATCAAGGGTATTTCCCTGTCCCCAGACGACCTGCTTGTCAGTTTTGATGTAGTTTCCTTATTCACCAAAGTCCCTGTACCTGACCCCATTTCCATCATTGAAAACTTCGTTCGTCAAGGACTGAACACTGAGGTACCCCCCTTGGTGAGACACTGCTTAACCAATACATACTTCCCCTGAAATGGAACTTTCTACAAACAAACTGAGGGCACCCCAATGGGCTCCCCCCTATCTCTGGTTGTAGCCAACGTTTTCATGGAGAAATTTGAGACTGACGCCATCCAGACTGCCACTCTACGCCCGACCTTATGGAAGAGGTACGTGGATGACACTTTTGTCATCTGGCCACATGACCGGCCTGCTCTAGACCAATTCCTCGACCACATCAATTCCATACACCCAGCCATCAGATTTACAATAGAAGTCGAAAAAGATGGCAAGCTACCTTTTTTGGATGTCCTATTACAAAGAGACCTGATGGTTCAATGAGACACTCTGTCTACAGGAAAGCTACCCATATGAATGCTTGCCTAAAACCGGATTCCCACCACCATCCATCCCAGAAGAATTCCCTCATCAAGACTTTGCACCATAGAGCCCAATGCATCTCTGACCAGGAACACATTGCCAGTAATTTAGATGTCATCGCGTTTTGACATTTATGCGTAGGTCAAATGTCCGTGCCATTTGAACAATGTTTTGGAAAACTCCCCAAAAACATGTGTAGTGACAGGGTGCCATCTGTTGACCATGAGGGATGACTACGGGGATGGGTGCGCTATATAACAGCCAACCATAAGGGGGTGCGTAACTGAGCCAAGGGTCAGAGGCGGGGATCAGTCGGGAAGCTCCTGGAACCTACACGAGAGTTCTAGAAGGGGGGCGTGGCCAGAGACGGGGCTTGGCCACGCCGAGGAGTATAAAAGGGGGAGGTAACCAGAGGTTCGGGGCTGTCGTGGGGGTTCGGGTCCTGGCTGGCGTCGCTGTCTTCGCCGTCATCTCTTCATCATTGTCCGGCCGTATAGCTGATCCGCTGCACGGTCCCCATCATCGTCGCCGCTGTATAGCCAGCCAGCTATATGGTTAGACGCCGGCGATGTGGCTGTATGAGTGGGTCAGCTACACGTAGCCCAGTGTAGATGTCGCTCAGTGTAAGAAGTAAACAAGGAGCCCTCCTCTGCTAGTCGCATTATGTTGTTCGTGGTACAAACCGTGCGTAGCTAAGTCAGGAAAAACCCAACGTCTATTCCATCTAAAAAGAAAACTTTGGAACCATGCAACCACCCAACTCCAGACAAGTCTTCAAACTCGCGACCAAAAGTTATTATGGGACATCTTGTCACGGTGTCATGGGAAAATACAGTGGACTACACCCCGACTTTGCGTGCTTTAAAATAATACAGCTTGTTTTACGGATATCTATACCAAAACAAATTCAAATTTTGGTGATTTTTGAAATCTATTGTATAGAAAACCACGAGCAACGGTAGATCGAAAACGTGGGAGGGTGATGTGGGACGGAAAATGTTTCCTCATTCTTTCACCTGGACGATACGTGTGGGCTTTTTTTGTCTTTCCCGCACGCACATATCCCGTCGCACACAAAACCAGCGAACGCAAAGTCTTTTAATCGTTTCTTTCAACAACCGCCTGGACGGGTCTACCTCCTCCTGCTCCTCGGCTCGCTCGCTCGCTCGAGATGTCAGCGGCAGACAGGTCAAAGAAAGAGAAGATGAACGTGGGTTCCAGCTTCCTCAACGCCGAACAAAACGAGATTCTGTTCAGCCTGCTGGGACACAAGTGCACGGTATGTGACATCTCACCAAATCACTTAACCGAGAGCCAATTAAACATTTCAGCTGGCACATAGGTGCACGCTACGTAATATCTCACCATATCACTTAACCGAGGGCCAATTAAACATTTCAGCTGGCACACAGGTGCACGCTTTGTGACATCTCACCAAATCACTTAACCGAGGGTCAATTAAACATTTCAGCTGGTACACAGGTGCACGCTATGTGATATCTCACCCAATCACTTAACCGAGGGCCAATTACACATTTCAGCTGGCACACAGGTGCACGCTATGTGATATCTCACCAAATCACTTAACCAAGGGCCAATTAAACATTTCAGCTGGTACACAGGTGCACGCTATGTGATATCTCACCAAATCGATTAACCGAGCGCCTATTAAAAATTCCATTCTACCGAAATGTTATTGAGATGACTTCGAGCTGATACGACTTTTAGTTATTGCACTCCTAGCAGAGGAGCCTCCACCGAATTGAGATCTAGAGAGCCCTTATGAAAGTTTTGTTTAGCCTACTCTTTCACACTGGCCGGATGTCTTGGAAGCTGTGCAAGTACCCACACTTTACCCCACCACACGCGTCCTGCGGTTCGACTAACTGCGGTTGCGAATTCCTATAATATGTTAACAATTTTTTTAAACTAAACCGTAAGGGAACGCATTTGTGTGTCCATCACCCCACCAGACACTGGTCTCCACCATGGTGATCGTCTTCCTCCACGAGGGTGGCCAGTGGATGCGGAAACACTATGGCGTGGTGTGCTTCGTGAAGGACGGCTCCAAGAAGTCCTACTTCATACGTGTCTACAGCGTGGGGGTAAGGTGCGGAGTGCGGTCCCCATTTGTGCCGTCGTTACAACGGAGTTGGTAACAAGTATAACCCGTAAAAACAAAGTTTTTCACTATAAATCCTTTATATGCGTGGCGGCTAGAGTCCTCTCGTCCTCTGGCTTGAGATGGCTGCCACCTATGGGTCAGATGATTGCATTGCACCATTAAGCAATTGGTAATTAAATATAATATTTTTGTCCTAAAAAGTGTAAAATTTTGGAAAGATTTTTTCACGAACATTAATTGTCACGCACAACGAGTCTGTGTGGAAAATGTCAGCTCGATTGGATCGCGGGAAGTGGGTTAAAAAACGACCGAAAGATTTGCACGGTCCTAAGCGTGCAAGCAAGCGAACTTAATATAAAGGATTTTAAAATGGTGCTTTATTCTATCAATGTTTTTTTACCATTTTATCTGGCAACAAAACTGATACCTTTTTTACAAGGAGTCATGTTTGCATTGACCACAATACCTGCGATCGGAATGCCAACAAAAACCACAACTCTGATAATGTGTGCACTGTCCTTGAAATTGATTGGTCCACACCCGAGACAGCTTTTCTTAAAGTCTAGATGACGCCTTTTGGCGTGCGCTACCTTATGACGGACCAATGCAGACCTTATTGGTCACCCCGTGCGCCGTATACATCTCAACGTTCAACCTACAAAGTCCCATCACAAGGGAGAAACACAAACAAATAGACATTTTTCGATTTAACGTTTTCGTGACTGCAGGGATTCAGATTCTTGGTTCTGTCGGTAAAGTCACGTAGAAGGGAAATAAAATTCTCACGACATTTCGGCCACAACGCAAGCAGCCATCCTCGTCGTGAGAATTTGATTATGTTTTATTTGTATTATTTCCCTTCTACGTGACTTTACCGAAAGAACCAAGAATATAAATAGACAATTTGTTTTATGCCCGAATCGAAACGGCTGTACGCCGTTTGGACCTGAAAACTCAATTTCCCTGTACAAGAAAACGGGGTAAACCATATGGGTCAACAGCTATGCGATTGCCCTTCTGAAGAGGACTTTTGAAATAAAGTGTTGCTGTTTCACACTCCCCCTCCCCTCCTGGTGTTCAGCCGTCGTTGAGTCGCCCACCGCTTCTCCGGAGGAAAGAAACAGAGCGCAGAGTCTGCTCATCGTCTCCAAACTTTGTTGTTGTTGTTGTCTATTTAGCCGACTTGTTTCTCCCCCTCCCCACCTCTCCCTCGAAAGGATTCACGGCAGGAGGAGAGCGGAAATGGCGGACCGGCTACACGAGAATCAGGACTCAAGGTAAGTGAAAATATTTTTTTTCTATTTATGTTACTTTAGATTATGTTTTATTTACTATACAGTATTTTTTACTGTGTCACGTGCAAATGTACAATATGCCTTCTTAATTATAAGTTTAACAAGGCTTCCCTTGAACCGTAACACATTTCACAACATTGACCGTATGTACATTTAAATACATTGCATCGTTGTGTTCCGACTTACGAACCGTTTGACTTACGAACGGGTCTCGGGAACGAATTAGGTTCGTAACCCGAATACTGCCCATACCCGAGTGGATTTCGCACAGAATCGGCAACACTAGTAGTAGTAGGTTTTTACCCTTTAAACTGGTACAAAACTGACACCTTTATACAAGGCATCATGTTTGCAATAACCGCAACACAAGCAGTCAAAATGCTAACAAAAAGAAACAACTCTGATGATGATAATGATATGCACTGTCCTTGAAGTTCATTGGTCCACACCCAAGACAGCTTTCCTTAGAGCCTAGTCTCCATTGGTGTTGGACCAGATGACGCCAAAAGGCGTACAACTCAAAAACAGTGCACTATCAGAGTATTGAGAGCTCGGGGTAAGCATTTACACTATGAGATCTCTTTTACCAGTGGCAAAATATAGTAGTAGGTTTTTACCCTTTTAAACTGGTACAAAACTGACACCTTTATACATCGGCAACACTGTTTCTCTCTCGTGTGCAGGAGCATGGCCTCCTGTGGGAGCAGGAGCTCGAGAAAACGCTCAAATACAAGGCGGCTCACGAAATCTTCCACACCGTATACAGCAAGGCAAGCGCACCGCTGTCCGTGGCCCTCTCGCACACCAACACGACGGAGATTGTGGTGGCTCAATCTCCCTGTGGTATTGAACAATTACAGTTTTAGTGCAGTGGCGGTGGTGGTGGTGGTGATGATGGCACGGTTTGGTGGTTCTGGTGGGACATTTAACACGTTCCTTCGGAGTGGGCAGGTAGCAGAGGTCGCAATCGGGTACCTGATACCTGTACCCTACCCGATACCCGGCTACCCGTACCCGGCCGGGTACGGGTACCCGTTTGCGACCCTGGTGCGGCCAGGTACGGGTAGGCGTGAGTCACTGGTGAGTAACCGTTTGTCACTCATTTCGGGTAGGGTACGGGTATGGGTAGGGAACGAGTACCCGTACCGGGTACGGGTACCCATTTGCGACCCTGGTGCGGCCTGGTACGGGTAAGGAATCAAAACCCGTTTGCGACCTCTGGCAGGTAGGAACTTGGTTGGACAGCGCATTCGTGCACGACAGAAAGCTCGCGGTCACGTGACGCGCTTCAACCAATCCGGGAGCATACTACATGTTAGGGAGGGGCTATGCATGACAGACAAATAATCCCTGGTGGGCAGTGTGGAACTGTTGTTCCTACCTGTAATATCCACTTTACAGCAGACATGCTTTGGTGAACTTGGGTGAATAGTAAAATAAGTCACGTCAAAGTGTTTATTTTTTCAACTCACTTCATTGAGTGTTGGGCAGTGCTCATCAATAGTTCACAGCCTTGAGGTGGTGTAGTAAATTCCATATTCCTATGGCGGGCGTGAGGATTTCTAGAGGAAAATCACAGTTGACTTTCCCACAAAGTGGAACACTTTTTATCTATCCGAGAGGAGTGAAGGGCTGACTAGGCCCCTGACTGGAGCTTTAACTAGTGACCTCCCGATATTGAGCCGTGTGTTCCACTTAGCCGTAATACGGTGCTAGCATTCATGTCTCTCTAAAAGAAATAATTCTGCCATTAGTCAGTACACTACTGCATTAAGGTGTCTTCATGCCGTGTATAGTTAATACTGTCCCACTAATGCCCCACAGAGTTGATTTGGTGACCATAATGGGAATCTGCCATCCACCTGATTCTGTAACTTGCTTCGACTTGATGATCAGTACTAAATGTACAAAACTTCCACAAATCTAGTGTTTCACACAATTGCCAAGAGAAACACATTTTTCCTCAAAGACTCGTTGGTTGTAACGTTGACTTTTATTTTCGCGAACGTCTCTCAGTATTTACGACACACACACACGTGACTAGTGAGTGCGTGAATACAAAGTTACCAGATTTTTTGTCAATACTGGCATGAACACAGTTTGCCAAATCAAATGTTAAATCCTTCCTTCAAAAACTTTGCTTATAAAACACTAGAGGGTTTAAATTTCGATTGTACACAGCCTCAGTACAAAGATGAAGTTGAGGTTTAACATGTGACAGAGAAGAACTCACCATAACAGAGGAGAAAGAATGATAAAACATTTCCTGGGCCATCCACACAGCATCGTCGATTATTAAAATAAGTTATAATCCCTCTGTTATGTTTACCATGCACTCAGTGGACTGGATGCTGCTGCTATGGTGTAATGTTTATCACACTGGACTTGCAATCCAGAGGTTGCCGGTTCAATATTCCTGTGAAAAATTATTAAATCCCTCCTCCACCTCTGTCGACCCAGCAGTATCGCGGCGCTTTCAAATGCGCGTCTGCGGCAGTCTGGAACGCTCTTCCTTCCGATATCAGGAAGCCACTGGAGCTATACACTTTCAATCATCTGCATTTAAAACAAATTTCTATAGAACCGCTTTTTGTGTTTAGTTTGTTGTCCTTCCCCCGCACCTCCGATTAGCATGGTTGGCTACGAACGGTGCGAAAGAAGTTGACCATACATACATAAATTGGTTCATAACATTTGAACACCGAATAAACTTGCCAAGTGTTGATCACCGACCCTTCTTTCCTCCCACAGGACAAGAAAGCCGCTCTCTGTTTCGAGAACGAAGCAGAGGCCGCAGATTTCAAAACGATCGTTATCGAAAAGCTGCATCTACTGTGTCCAGGAAACAGCAAGCCAGCCAGCGGCGCACTCCCTGCCAAGTTCGATACACTTCCGGGCAGGTTGTCGCCAATTCACAAAGGTACGCGAGCGGTCCTCACAGTACCTGGACGAACAAACTCGGTATTTGTTTCCTTTTGCCTCTTACGCTCCCGCACAAAATCAGGACTTTTGAGCGGTCCGGGAAGACCTTGGGAATACCGGGAGGAGGTGGAAACCCTCCTCCTGAAAATGTTGAGCAGTGGGCGTCTCGTCATCGGGGTGGGCAAGTGGTGCAACCGCAAAGGGGGCCCTCGGGCTGGAGGGGACAACCACCAGGCTACGAAGAAGGGTCCACATGCACCTCCCATCAATCCTTGCACCAGGATCCATGCCACGTTGTAACGTTACACCACCGCTCGCGCATAGATGTACGAAACACATACAACAACGACAACTTTCATTTGCAATGCGTTTCCGAAAACTGATTTTGAGACCATGTGTTAAACATTGCTTTTCTCACATGTTTAGATTGGTCATTGCCTAGTTTTTTTATCGATGCTTAATAGGAGCCCAAAAACATCATGGGAACTATACTATGGCAAATGTTATTTTTTTATCAACTGAGCATTTCTTTGCTGCATGGCACTGCAGAAATTATTGCAAAAAAAATAATTGAGACATTTAATACACACAGAAGGGCAACTGCCAACAATCAATTTAATGGCAGTAATAACCAAGAGAAGTTAACGACAGCAGCTTAAAATAACCAATAACACCTTGTTATTGGACTGCGGTGTTTGTAATGGCAGTCGTTACAAAGTAGGCAACATTAATTCAAGATTAGCGATCGATTGCCTTGCATTGATTCTGTACAAATCAGGGGACATGCATCTGTAAATAATACCAAAGCACCGCATACACTTGTATAACAATGCTCATTCATCTTCATGGTTCTTTCGGTAAAGTTACGTAGAAGGGAAGCAATAAAATAATTAAAATAAAACATAATAAAATAATTCTCACGACGTTTCGGCCACAACGCAAGCAGCCGTCTTCACCTGAGGATGGCTGCTTGCGTTGTGGCCGAAACGTCGTGAGAATTATTTTATTATGTTTTATTTTTATTATTTTATTATTTCCCTTCTACGTGACTTTACCGAAAAAACCAAGAAGATGATTCCCTGCAGTCACGAAAGCTTTAAATCGAAATTGAACGCTCATTCACCTGCAGACACTTTGTGCTTGTACAGCTCTTCTGTCAATCCACTGCTGCCACCACTCACCTTTGCACGTTGTGGGGGTTATTTTAATTGACCATACTTCACCACACTGGCCAGCGTGGGTAGGTATACACGTGGGACCATAAAAGTACTGTCCAATATTCTTGGTTCTTTCGGTAAAGTCACGTAGGTAAAAAATGAAATTAAAATTAATAAAAATTAAAATTTTAAATTAAATAAAAATAAAACAAAAATCCCCACGTGTTGCTCTTTAGACGTTTCGCTGCCGCCCCCACTTCCATCACGGCTGCCCAATGGACCTCCGCAGCTGCTGCCAACGCGCTCGCCACACACGTTGCCGAGAAGTGAGAAACATCTTCGCGCACACACGAGAGGGCACGGGCAAGGCTGCCTGCCAACTTTTCCACGGTAGACCCAAAGCAAGAGTTTTTTCTCAGTCTCCCTAGGTTCTATTAACGCCTGTGGAAGTATACTGCAATAAAGTTTAAAGCTTATTTGTTTGTGTATTTAGTTATATTCTTAGGTTTTTTTCGGTAAAGTCACGTAGGTAAAAATTAAAATTAATAAAAGTAAAATTAAAATAAAATAAAAATCACGACGTTTCGGAGGCAACACAAGCCTCCGTCTTCAGCATGTGTTGCCTCCGAAACGTCGTGATTTTTATTTTATTTTTATTTTACTTTTAATAATTTTCTTTTTTTACCTACGTGACTTTACCGAAAAAACCTAAGAATATGAATCCTTGCAGTCACGAAAGCTTCAAATCTAGAAGAATGTATTTAGTTAGTTGTGCTTTCCCGGCACCTCCGATTAGCAACGCTTCAAACTTGGCATAACCCTCGTGTGGACAGCCTTGAGATTCGGTGAGGCTTTCCATGGTAAGCAAGCATAATAAGAATAATTCCCGTTAGCGTGCGCACAGTTGGCTACATATGATGCGAAATAAATTCAACATACGTCATAATACTGGTACCAGATCTCGGTAAAAAATCCAAATCCGGGTGCCAATTGCCAAGATCTGGCGAGACCGCCGCATGCACTCTGGGCGATTCGGATATCGGCTGGTGCGTTGTTTGATTGTTTTCCGAATGCAATGTTTTTCAGACACAAATCAGAACGACGCACCTCCACCTACGGGCGCAGAACCCGTTAAGAAGAATAAATATTGGCTCAAGATGGCCGAGAAAATCGGAAAACCCACGAAAGAAATCAGTGGCCCCCAAGACTTCCAGTAGGTTGAGATCACCTGCAGAATTACCCATGAGCGGATTTGCTGAAGAGAGAATGTTAATACAGGGTGCTTACCCTTCCCAGCAATAACTAACACGGGTGTTCAGATAACCTATTACCACAAGCATGTGTGGTTAATGCATACTTGATGTCTTGCAAATAGGTGTCTATTTGGTGTTTGAACATATTTAGACCTCCTGTATTAATGCCAGAAAGGGTAAAGCCTATTGTTTTTTCATCAAATACCGGTTAAATTTCGATTTAAAGCTTTCGTGACTGCAGGGATTCATCTTCTTGGTTCTTTCGATAAAGTCACGTAGAAGGGAAATAGTAAAAAAGTAAAAATATTTTATTATTAAATAAATAAAATATGCTATTATTTTATTATTTCCCTTCTACGTGACTTTACGGAAAGAACCAAGAAGACCTGTTGTTGAGAATATCAACTTTGATAGCCCTGAGCACCGACTTATACAGGTTGCTTCAAAATAGTTGTAACACTTCTGAGAATTTGCAACAACACCACAGGAAATGTGCCTCCTCCGGGCTCTGGAGACCACCTGGAGAAGATTCCAGGCATGTGTTGACAATGATGGCGAACAAGTGGGAGATACTCTTAGGTTTTTTCGGTAAAGTCACGTAGGTAAAAAATAAATGATAAAAATAATAGAAATAATAATAGAAATAAAATGATAAATCACGACGTTTCGGAGGCAACACAAGTCTCCGTCATCAGATGGGACCGTCACAGCTAGATTTACAATAAATATTTTACAATAAATCTAGCTGTGACGGTCCCACCTGATGACGGAGACTTGTGTTGCATCCGAAACGTCGTGATTTATTATTTAATTTCTCTATTATTATTTCTATTATTTTTATTATTTATTTTTTACCTACGTGACTTTACCGTAAAAAACCTAAGAGTATGAATCCTTGCAGTCACGAAAGCTTCAAATCTAGAACAAGTGGGAGACTCTTTGACTTTTTAAAGTTATTAACATACCGTACATTTGTTATCATGTTACCGTGTATTATCCGTTCTTTTCCCATTAAAAACGATAGTCCCATAAAAGTCTTAAAAAATGTTTAAAGCACCCTGTATATAGCTGGATGTGCAGCCAATGCAAGCTTAACGTCATGAGCCACAAGAGAAACGCAAATATCCAGCAGAACAGCTGAAATCGTTAAATAATTCTGAGTTGTGTGTGTTTGTGTGGGGAGCGGTGGTGTAGCGGTTAGCACTTTGCGCTACGAACCCGGCGACACGAGTTCGATTCCCGCTCATGGCCAATACCAGTGATAATAATCTGAACCGGTCCTGGGCCACCCTAGGTCGACTCAGCCTCAAATGATTACCTTGAGTGATGTGTAAACATCGCCACTAGGGAGACAAAGGCGGTCGGGCGTAGTGCTGGCCATCCACCCTCTCGTGTACCGTGCCGGCCCTTCATATGTGCTTGCTATACGGGGGATCTTTGTCTTTTGTGTTTAGTATGGATAGAATAAAATACATTATTTTCATATAACACACAATTCACTTAAAAAGACTACAGTTTGCAGAAACTGGGAAAGGCGACAACAACAGCACACGCGTTGATAAAGTGCACATAGCCAAGTGTGGTGGAGAATACCTGTACCGTAGTCCAGCGATTTGGGTTGACGGATCATGCAAAGGTGGAACCTGCATGAGACGCCTACCTGCAAGGTAAAGGAGGTCCCTGTAAGGGGCAGTACAACAAGTAATTTTCCTATTCGGCTGCGTAAGCTCTTGGCCTCTGAGTGAATTTTGATTTCTGGAATCCCAGTTTCTTTCCACATGGAAACATTCTAATGGATGAAATTATCTAAACGTCCCGCAGAAGGACCCTCCGGAATACGGGCTCGATTCGCATGCGCTTATGTCAACTCAAATAAAATTAACCCGTAAAAACAAAGTTTTTCACTATAAATCCTTTATATGCGTGGCGGCTAGAGTCCTCTCGTCCTCTGGCTTGAGATGGCTGCCACCTATGGGTCAGATGATTGCCTGCCACCATTAAGCAATTGGTAATTAAATATAATTTATTTTTTCCTAAAAAGTGTAAAATTTTGGAACAAAAATTTTCACGAAAATAAATTGTCACGCACAACGAGTCTGTGTGCAAAATGTCAGCTCGATTGGATCACTGGAAGTGGGTTAAAAAACGACCGAAAGATTTGCACGGTCGTTAGCGCGCAAGCAAGCAAGCAAGTGAACTTAATATAAATGATTAAAAAAATGCATTGGCTCACTAGAGCTAGATTAACCTACTTCTCATCGCAAAGTGGGATACAGTGACACAGTAAGGGACTGTTGCCGAGTGAGACGAATGTGAAACATTAAGAATTAATAAGCGTCAACATTTAACTTGTGTTCTTTGTACATTTCAGGCACAACCATCACATAGCGTGGGATCCGTTAAAGGGCTTTGATGTAAGTCACATTCACAAACAATGTCACAACTTTGTCAATGCAGATGATCTCTCACTCTCCGATGTGTTTTAAGATGTCCCGTATTTCGCTCCACACGCTCAGAGCTTTTTTAAGAACCGACGTTTCACTCCACTTGCTGAAGAAGCTCCCAGCACATGCAATTAAACGTCGGACATTGTGCAGAAAAACACGCGGTACGACCCGAACACACATTTACCGGACATCAGATGTACTGGATATTTGTGAGAAAGAGCTTCATAGCTCATCGGATTTCTCCAGGATAAATAAAGACTCTTGCTTTCCCAGGAAAGTCTCACTGAGTCTCACGACTCTTTTTCCAGAGGATCGTGCCAGGCTTGTTACATTAAGGGTGCAATGCATAAGAGGTTTTTTTTGGGTTAGATCGCGATCTAACCTAAAAAAAACTCTATTATGGATGAAATTGGTCGCGAGAGCCTACGTGTTAAAGGGTGCAATGGTTGCTATGTCTAATACCAATATCATTTTTCATATGGAGACAATTATGACCACATAAGAAAGCTATACAGATCAACTTACTCGGTAGATGATCTGTGTTTGCTCAAGGATGCAGTCAGTCTAAGTGACTTTGGTGGTATCATCTGTCTTAAATAATGACTGGTCGCTTGTTTTAGAAGCTCGGGTGTTAAACCATCCATGGTTTTCACACTGCAGGTGCATTAACGATAAATGCGCTCCCAAGATCTCGTGACATTATTCGGAATGAGTTAGGCCACGTGTGCCGGTGTCACAGTTGAAATTATCCAACTTTTAAAATGAATGGCCATGTTGCTTAATTGGCTAAAACCACGTAATGACATTGCCCCCCCGTATGCCAGTCTATATCTGTCTGTGCAACAGGGGTAGCCTTTGTGGTAGTCTTGCGCTGTTAAAAGTGTGTGAACAGCAATTTAACCTAGTTATTATTCGTAGTATAACAATGCTATAAAGGCTGTCACAACATGTCACACGTTCGCACATCACAACAAGCAGAAGACACTTCTAGACAAGCGTGGCAGATTAAAGCTGAAGATTGCGGATTAAAATACATGTCTATGCTCTTTGCTGCATTCTTCAGATCAAGAACATTCCAGACGAGATGAAAGCTGTCTTTATGAAAGCTGGAATCAACGAGCAGCAGTTAACCGACAAGAAATCGTCGAAAGCGATTCGTGAAGTTCTTAATATTTATGGCCTTGTTGACACTGATCAGAAGAAAACAGGTATGGAAATCTATCTTAATTTTGAAGCTTTCGTGACTGCAAGAATTATTCTTTGGTTCTTTCGGTAAAGTCACGTATAAAGATAAAATAATAAATTAAATAATAGCATACGACGTTTCGATTGCTACACAAGCAATCATCATCAGGTATAATGAAATAGCGACACAAAATCTAACCAGAAAACCACAGACAGACATATAAGCAGACAGATATCACCAAGATACACAGAGAGAGAGAGAGCAACCCAGGTACAGAGAGGGGTGATCGTCTCTGTGGGGTGGCCTTAAATAGACAGAGGGGGGCGGAGGCAGAGAGAGGGAGGGGTTAGAGAAAAAATGTACATGTCAATGAGTACGAAGAGACGCGTAGTAAAGTACGCAGGCTTAGAGGGAGAAATAACACACTAAATTAAACAACCTAGCAAAGTATGGAAATGCCATAACCAAGATTGAGATGTGTGTGGAAAGGGGACTTGGAGGCTCAGAGGTCAGAGCGCTGAGCTGTACCTGGAAAACCAGAGGTGGAATTTGTATCCTCAACCTGGAGCCACAAACTACCCATGTTTTTGTTTGTTCAGCAAAGCAGAATCATCATTTCCATACTCACGTGAGCAATAGGTTTTGCTGAGGTCTGTTGACAGTCCTGAGAAAATAGTGGAAGTGTGTTTTTTTTATTTCTATGCCAAGGACGAATCTTATCATGCGACATCCTAACCAGACGGTGCTCATTTTTAAATCCATTATATTAAGTTCACTTGCTTGCTTGCTTAGGACCGTGCAAATCTTTCGGTCGTTTTTTAACCCACTTCCCGTGATCGAATCGAGCTGACATTTTCCACACAGACTCGTTGTGTGTGACAATTTTCGTGAAAAAAAAATCCTAAATTTTACACTTTTTAGGACAAAAATATTATATTTAATTACCAATTGCTTAATGCTGCCATGCAATCATCTGACCCATAGGTGGCAGCCATCTCAAGCCAGAGGACGAGAGGACTCTAGCCGCCACGCATATAAAGGATTTATAGTGAAAAACGTTGTTTTTACGGATTATACTTGTTATCATCCGTGAAGAGGGAATAATGATGACGATCGTTATTATAATTATGATGATGATAATGATTATTGGTGATGGTGGATGATGACAATGGATGATTAACGATGGGTTATTGTGATGTTTGTAGTTGTTGTGGTGATGATTGCTATTCATAATACGTTCATGAATTTTCTCATTGCTGGAAAGACTGCAGTTATACAAACTTAGCAATAATTTGAAGTCAAAATAATAACATACTTATGATAATTGGTTTTTTACCCTTTTATATGGCAACAAAACTGACACCTTTTTTACGAGGAGTCATGTTTGCATAGACCACAATACCTGCAGTCATAATGCAAACAAAAAACATAACTCTGATAATGTATGCACTGTCCTTGAAGTGGATTGGTCCACACCCGAGACAGCTTTCCTGTTGCCAGATAAAAGGGTAAAAACCCAATTATCATATTTTTTACTGGCAAATGAGGTACCAATGGTGGAATAATATACTTACTGTGTGCATCATAAATATCATCATATCCGAAACAAAGATTATTGTTGCTCATTTTACAGAATGTGAACACACTTCACAGCGGTCATGTGACCCAAGAAATCCACAAACGCCAAGATATTTAATGGCCACGAATACTCAAAAATCTACAGCAGAAAGTCCCAACCGATTCCTGGGAGTCGACAAGTTCCCTTCGCCCAGATCCAAGTCCCCAGAACAAAACCAGGATATGGTCCAGAAGCTGAACAATCTTCAACAGATGTTGCATCAGTTGATGATGGAGGTGAGTCACCTTTGTGTGAATATCATCAACGATGCACGCCTCTTATTAGAGTTACGTTAAAATGTACGATTACCATGGTCATACTGCTGTTGATACTGGCCTTCTGAGTTGAGCAGGCAAGTATCATTAATGATCATTCGTGAAAATGAATGAATCTGATTAAAATTAAACATTAAATGGTGGCACGGTGGCGAGATGTTTACTACCTCACCTGGTATACTGGAGGTCGTGGGTTAGATTCTGACCCTTACGCATGTATATTTAAAGTTTGCATGTCATTCTCCCCGTGCTCGCTTGAATTTTTCTTCTGGTCCTGCGGTTTTTGCTTTCACATTTAGAAACAACATGCGTTGAGAGTATTGGCTGCGATAAATTCGTTGGACATGTCGCTTCTGAAAAATAGCTATATAGCTCAGTGGGCCTTACCTGATAAAATAAAAAACTAGTTTAGTTTAGTTGAACCCTAAAGATTTTGAAATGGGCCTCAGTCTGGCTCTGTGAGCCTCAGACATGAACAATAAGCTGTAAGCATTCTAAAGGTTCCGAGCTTTGTGAAACTCCACCCTGTTCGTCACCTGAGGACGGCTGCTTGTGTTGTGGCCAAAACGTCGTGAGAATTATTTTATTATGTTATATTTTTATTATTTTATTATTTCCTTTCTACGTGACTTTACCGAAAGAACCAAGAAAATGCCGAATTTAATTTGTTGTTAGCCTTGTTAAAAATAAATGTTATTTTTCTTTAACGTTGTTTTCCTTTTGAAAATATTACTGGGGGCCTCACAGTACGTGTAGCCCCAGGGGCCTGCAAAATCTTGATCCGGCCCTGCACCCAACCCTTTGGAGAGGGAAACTACGTTGCACTTTTTTTCTTCTTTGAACCGAGGCTACGTACATGCGTTTTTATTTTTCGAAAGGTTGTTCAGGTTTGCTGAATCTAATAATAACATATTTTCGTGATCTTTCAAATGAATTGAGTCGTTTTTGTAAGTGGGTGATGCTAAAAGTTGCTCCAGTGGGGAAATCCCACTACCAAGGTAGCATTATAGCAAATTCGTGGTGACCGCTGATGTATATGCACGTATTTATAGAATCTCTGGAACAATGTAAAAAGCAAAATGATAACACTGTTTAGTGGTGGTCTCCCTGTCACAGGTTGAGTCACAAACCGCACCTCTCCATAACAAAGGCTCAGCCTTTGTTATGCAGTCTATTCTTAGTCTTAAGCCTCACCTTACCATATTAATAAAAAGTATGCGGCCCTTGCCCCACCACCTTCTCCAACCATTATATAAACGGAGTGGTAGCTCTTGCAATCTCTCATTTACTTGATACAGCTGTCGTGGCTGTGACGGTATCACCTGAAGACGGAAGCTTGTGTTGCCTCCGAAACGTCGTGATTTTTTATTTTACTTTTTTAATGTTTTTAGCTACGTGACTTTACCGAAAAAACCTAAGAATATGAATCATTGCAGTCACGAAAGCTTCAAATCTAGAACACTGTAGTTGCTTTACGTCACACGTCATGCAAATCATCGTGATGTCACAGAAAGTTTGGGGTGCCGTAGACTTTCTTACAACAGACGCGACTTATCACCGCATTCTCCAGATCGGAAGATACATTTGTTTCCCCTGTTTCCGTATTTTAAAATCACAACTTGAGGGCGCAGTCTTACAATCCAGCAGGCGGGTTTTTGTGACAAGGTGTGGATAACCTTATCAACACCGGGCGCAAGTTTGTGATGTATGTTACCCTCCTGAGCATCTTATATTTGATAATCCGGAGAATACGGTAATATTTCGATTTAAAGCTTTCGTGACTGCAGGGATTCATCTTCTTGGTTCTTTCGGTAAAGTCATGTAGTAGGGAAATAATAAAATAATAAAAATAAAACATAATGTGGTAAAATTCTCCCGACGTTTCGGCCACAACACAAGCAGCCGTCCTCAGGTGAAAAAACAGAGCTGTCGGAAAGACAGTTCATTGGGACGCTGTCTTTCCGACAGCTTCGCTTTTGTTGTGGCCGAAACGTCGTGAGAATTTAATAGTTTTATTTATTATTTTATTATTTCCCTTCTACGTGACTTTACCCAAAGAACCACGAAGATGAATACGGTAATATGTTTGTCGCGCAGTCTCTACACTTTACCGCCGGTCATCAGAGCATATGGAACATGAAGGCGCAGATGGAGCTAATTAAGCGACAGGCTGCTATGTCTTTAATATCAAGCCACTGGAGCTATGCACCGTTAAATCTAGATTTAAAGGACTGTACTCTTTGGTCTACTTTCTGCCCGCATATACACTACACTATACACTACACTATACACTACACTATACACTACACTGTACACTACACTATACACTACACTATACACTACACTGTACACTACACTACACACTACACTACACACTACACTATACACTACACTATACACTACTATACACTACACTATACACTATACTATACACTACACTATACACGACACTATACACTACACTATACACTACACTATACACTACTATATACTACACTATACACGACACTATACACTACACTATACACTACTATATAACCTCGTTCCAGGGCAGATCTCTCGCCTACTTCAGCAGTTTTTTTTCTTGCTGCGGTTGTCCCACCTGATGACGATTGCTTGTGTTGCGATCGAAACGTCGTGATCTATTCTCTTTTTCTACCTACGTGACTTTACCGAAAGAACCAAAGAGTATGGATTCCTGCAGTCACGAAAGCTTCAAATCAAGATTCTTTAGGACTGCTTTTTGTGTTTAGTTTGTTGTTCTTCCCCCGCACCTCGATTGGCACGGTTGGCCATGCGTACATACAACAAAGTAAAATGCATGTGGCATGTAGTGTCCATTAGGAGTGGGGAGCGGTGGTGTAGCGGTTAGCGCGCTGCGCTACGAACTCGGCGACTCGCGTTCGATTCCCGCTCACGGCCAATACCAGTGACGATTATCTGAACCGGTCCCGGGCCTCCCCTAGGTCGACTCAGCCTCAAATGAGTATCTGGTGCGGTGTGTAAGCATCACCACTAGGGAGACAAAGGCGGTCGGGCGTGGTGCTGGCCACCCACACCCTCGTGTACCGTTCCGGCCTTCATAGGTGCTCGCTAACAGCACTTGTCCCTACAGTCTGTTAAGGCTATACGGGGGATCTTTGTTTTTTGTCATTAGGAGTGCCTAGCAATGAAATGTAGGACTCTGTTCACTCTACCCCCAACAGGTGTCTGGTGAAGATGTCTGAAAACTCACGATTTGGATTATTGCGGCATTGGTGAAATGTGAAATGTGCATTACGTGAAGACGGAGAAAACGGTGTTCTTTGAGTATTTCAGAATAACATTGTGGTGCATTTACAAAACCACCCTTCGACCTAACTTACACCTCCGCAGACATCACGAGAATATAAACTTCAACCAGTCCGCCTACCTATCAAAAGGAACTAAGCAGAACCAAATGCGAATGGTGCACCAGACAATGTAATGCCCGTTCAAATAATCGTCTGATAATAACCGCATATAACTGCTTATTTTAGTTTTCAGCGATGTCAGCTATGCCACTTGTGTGTGTGAAGTATTACATGCTGTATGTATGAACTGTATTACGCCACATCTGTAAAATTGGATAAAAGCCATAGAGGTCTAAGTATTCGTACGTTTTCAGCGCTCCGCGCAGCCTTGAACTCTGGGTGGCCACCCTGATTGCCCACCCAAAAAGCCAGGTCAAACGACTGTTTTGGAAATCACGAATATTACATTGTACCTGAACTTATTTATTCGTGTGCTAAACTGAAAAAAAAGTGGGCAAGGCTAATTGCCAAAAGAGAAAGGAGTGATTTGACAAAGGCATCACATGCTCACACTAGGCCTCATGCCAATGAGACTGATTGGAGCATTGGATTTTAAGCAAAACTGTGGAGGCATTATTTGCAGTGTGATTATTTAGTCACCCTTGCTGGTATTAATGTGTCGGCGGGAAGGGGGAGAGCGGGTCTCTCCTCCACATGTGTGTAAGGTAAACGTACAAGTGCAACTTTAGTAAGTATAACTACAATAATCCGTGGTCACGTGATGATGAACGTCGTGGTTAATTGGATAAACTTGATCATTAATGCTACCTATCTGTGTAAAATGTGTGAATAATACAAAACCATTCTACCACAAAGCATCGTGGGAAAATCCAGGAATGATTGTGGATAATAGGAAGAATATGATCATGGATAATAGGTTTCACTGACCCTACAGCTCCTGCAGATAACAGGGTAATGTGTGCACGGATGAGAGTTCTACCGTACCAGCACCCTTATGTGATGGTATACAAGACTGTGACTTGATTTGATGTGGGTAGCATTATATGATTTAAGCGTCATGTATAAACAAAGCATCTTAACAGCAATTTCGTTTTCCAAATTTGCTATGGAGAAGCTCCTATGATATAACCACCCTTAGCATGTAAATACCCACAATTACCAGTGCCCTGTGAAAATGGCTGGAATAAGTCACAGTGGGTGTAAGTGGGTTATAAAATAAAAAAAGACATACTTTGTGCCGCCAAATGCCCACACTTTCACATTGAGTAATCTCAAAGCATTTGCATATACATTAGATAAGGCGCTGAGGCACGTAACCATCAGCACCCGTTGATTGTTGATGAAATGAGATGCAATTCTGGAGCCGCGTGTTGGCAAGGGTCACGAGCAAATACGGATTCGGAAAGTAGGTGAATTAAATAGTATTGTGAAAATCGTAAAGCATAATTTCGATTTAAAGCTTTCGTGACTGCAGGGATTCATCTTTTTGGTTCTTTCGGTAAAGTCACGTAGAAGGGAAATAAAAAATAATAAAAATACGCTGCCAAGCTTGGTGGTGTTCATTCAGACGCTGTCTTTCCGACAGCCCTGTTCTTCATCTGAGGACGGCTGCTTGCGTTGTGGCAGAAACGTCGTGAGAATTGTATTTTATTATGTTTTATTTTTATTATGTTATTATTTCCGTTCTACGTGACTTTACCGAAAGAACCAAGGAGACGTAAAGCATAATATTAATGGGTTTTCTCCAAGCGTGGGGGCTCCACCCCCACACAAAACCGCACGTCACATATCCACCTCGCTGGGGGATGGACTGCGGTTTAGGCGGATGCGTGAAAAGGTCGAATTGGTGAACATCTAAAAAAAAAAATGTTACACCACCATACGCAAATAGGTTTTCTGGACAATAAAGTGCACACTGCTTTCACCATGGGAAAATGCTTTGCAGTAATGTAAAAGTGAATGCACACGAGACTTAGAATGAATGACTGTATTTGAAAAGATTGGATGTTGTGAATATCTATTGAAATTGACGGTTAACACCGTGCACCAATACAGCACTGAGTGTGGGTAGTGAATTGGTCAGGGCGGACCTGTAACTGTCAGATATGCACACGTACCGTACTTTTAATCCATGAACAAGCATTCCAAAGGAGAGCCCTTTTGAAAAGGTCATTAAGCTCTGTCATGCAATCCTGGAAAAAAACACCTGAATGAGCACGTGATTACTGTATGTGTATTAGAAAACAATTGCTCACATTTTTAAAAGGTCCTCTGTTTAAATTAGCAAAGAGCGTTTGCAGAACATTTCCAAACTTCCCACTAGATTGTGGGCAGTGCTCTTTTTTGAAATAACTGCCAGAAGGCAGAACCTTCAATGAAATTTAACTTGCAATCCCTTTTGTTTAATGAAGGCCCTTACACCACAGCGTGTGGGGGTTATTTGGCCAAACTACCAGGCTGGTCAGTGCGGGTTGGTGAAGGCAGACGGCAAAGTAGTCGGAGCGTAACAGGACACCGCCACCACGGATTTTGTTCCACTGCCCTCTGCTGTCCAGCACGTAGCCCCACAAGCCCGATGACAATCTCTATTGTCCATATCATGGGACCTCTTTTTTTTTGCCAGTATCAAAGTATGAAAAAAAATAAGCATAGGTTTTACCCCTTCTGGCAATGAAACAGGTGTTAAGATGTTTACACACCAAATATAAACCTTTTGCAAGGATTCATGGTTGCATTAACCACACGTACTTGTGAACATGCAAAGAAAAAAACATGCTCTGATAATAATATTTGGCATTGTCTTTGAAACTGAGTGATCTACACCAAAGACAGCAGCCTTCTTTAGGGCCTAACCTCACCACCAGTCAGACCAGAGAACGCCTTTTGGAGAACGCCTTTTGGTCTGACACTGGTAGTGAGACGAGGCGCTAAAAAGTATAACCCGTAAAAACAAAGTTTTTCACTATAAATCCTTTATATGCGTGGCGGCTAGAGTCCTCTCGTCCTCTGGCTTGAGATGGCTGCCACCTATGGGTCAGATGATTGCATGGCACCATTAAGCAATTGGTAATTAAATATTATATTTTTGTCCTAAAAAGTGTAAAATTTTGGAAAAAAAATTTCACGAACATTAATTGTCACGCACAACGAGTCTGTGTGGAAAATGTCAGCTCGATTGGATCACGGGAAGTGGGTTAAAAAACGACCGAAAGATTTGCACGGTCCTAAGCAAGCAAGCAAGCGCGCAAGTGAACTTAATATAAAGGATTTAAAAAGGCTGTCTCTGGTCTAGACCAATCAGTTTCAAAGACAATGCCATATATATTCTTGGTTCTTTCGGCAAAGTCACGTAGAAGGGAAATAATAAAATAATACAAATAAAACAATTAAATTCTCACGACGTTTCGATTGCAACACAAGCAATCGTCATCAGGTGTGAAAAAAATGCCATATATTGTGAGAGCATGTTTTAGTGCCAGAAAGGGTGAAACCTATTCTTATTTTTACCATTATCCATGTTGGTCACGTGTCGATGCACTGTCCCAGATTAACTCTAGTTAGCCTCTGAGAGCTCACAACATCGACCCGATGACCCAATCACCTATAAATGCGACTTGATCGAAGATGAGCATTTATTGCGAAGTGGGGATTTACCTGTCCAATTTTTTTTTATTACATAAAGACATGAACTGCTGATCATTTCATTACTGCAGTGTATTGTGGTGTCAAAACTTTGCCACAGCTTATTGTCAAGATAAATAAATACAGATTTATGTACTCTTGATTTTGCGATCTTTTATGAGTGTACATCGTGCAAGGGATTTATATGTCCTGTATTGTACTTGTAATGTTACAATAAATATCCACTTTTGTTTGCTATTTATCAAGTGGCCAATGACGACGATGCGTTTAGGCTTGCCACGACTGCAACGTTTTCAGTACATTCATGTTTAAACATAAAATGTGTTTAAACATATAAATATTGAAAGTTACGAAAAGCACCTTGACACCTTAGTTTTACATAAATTAGATGACGCCATTGCCTGTTTATGTTTAAACACTGTAACTCGCTGTCCAACGCTATATTCGTAGTATATTGTACATGTGTACAGACCGTTTGTCAATCCACTGCTGGATGAAGGCCTCACCGTGCCATTCAAATCACGGGGATTATTTGGCCAATCTTTACCCCACTGCAGGTCGCTGTGTCTTGGTGTAGGTAGGGAGCATAGACGTAGAAGAATACTACCTTATAGTACAGTATAACCTCAGACAAATTCCATTTTTTTCTGAAATATCAACTCGCACATGTGCAAACGTTTTATTTTCTCCCGAGATTTCCATTACAACAGATATGCGTCTTCATCTTTCGTCCAGATGAAAGGACACGATTTTTTTATGGGGTGAAAGCCTCTCTTAATGGACTCCCCATTTGGCCAAAATAGTGGTCTTGTTATTGGTTCTGCACTGTATTCGCCTCTACATTCCACGTCGGATGAGTCGAGTCTTCTGCTTATAGACAACGTACATGACGGAAGAAACTAAACCGGCCGAAAATGGTGGAGATTTGTCCATTTCGACCACAATTCGGATTGAAAATACCGTATCAATTAAGCATCCAAATGACCTCATGATTTTACATCATTTTGGCGAGAAATAGAATTTCTGCAAACACGTGAATTCGAAGCTGATGAAAAAAATTAAAATTAAAAATCCGGTGGCCTCCTTTTCCCTCTTGACACGAGAGAAAAAAAAATAACCATGTTAAAAAAAAATCTATCCTTTATTTCTAAACATAACATCACATCTCCTCTGCATAGGGGGGAGAGGGGGCCCACAATTGAAAACAAAAATTCCACCACCAAAGCGCCCAAAAAAAAATCAAATGACATCATCTCTACCGTATCCCCCGCCCCCCACGTGACGTCACTCTCCGCCCCCACCCTCCCCCCCAGCAGGGGCTCTCGACCAATGAGCGACGAGGCTCGGCGCATCCGCGCTAGGGAATCTAAAGGGCGGCGCAGGGCGGAAGCGCGCTATGGATTTCGCGGTGGTGGTGATGGGGGGCTAGAGCATGGCACCGGGGCCGCATCTAAAGCCACCACCACCACCATCATCTTTACATCATTAAAACTAGACACAAACAGACCTTCTCGTCGTCGTCCTCCCTGCGATGGCGGGAATCAACCTCAACGACGAGTACGACGTGGTGAGGGTCAAAGTGAAGGTGGGTTGACTGTGAGACCGGGGCCGGTGAAGGCGCCTCACGAATTCGCCCCGCGGGGTTCGGGTAGGGGAGGCCGGGGAGGGAAGGAGGCCCTCTGCCCCTCTGGCCCTCGGTGTTTGAGGGGAGGCTAGGGAGAGGGAAGGAGGCTCCCTGCCTCTGTGCCTGTGATTGTAACCCACCTCTCTCCCTACTGGAGCCGGCCTACTGCCTCAAGGCGACAAGGGCCCGGGCAGGCCCCGAACTTCTACGTTGGGCAGAGAGTGAATTTGTGGGCCAAATGTTGTTGTCGGGCGTTACGTTTTACGAGTTAACAACGAGAGCGATTGCAAAGTGGTTGGTTGTGGCGAGTAATGTTTGCCCCTTTTATTTTTGTCGTCGTTGCCCTGTTCGTGAAAGACGTGTAACTTTTAGTTTTTCAGCTAAGGGAAGCAGATTTATTTTTTTAATTTCTTAAATGGACCACTCCTGTTAGGGTTGACGTCAGCCCCGGCGGAAGAGACCCGGGGGGGGGGGTAGCCAGACGATAGCATCGTCCCTTTCATTTGTTTGTTATGCGATTCCCGCTGAGTACATTTTCTGTGCATCTGCTCGTGAATGGTTTTTGGGTACCACTTTGTTGGGCAGTTGTTTCGTGAATTGCTTATGCAAAGATATGCCTCGCTCCCCCTCCCTCCACTGACATGGTAATGTGGAATTTCACGACAATGGCCTAACGAGTTGGACACGGATGAGCATCAGACCAGGATTTTCAGTGGGAAACCACTTGGGGTTGTTTTTTTAATGAGATTAATCTTATTTTTCCAATCGGAAGATCGCGAGTCGCAGACATCACGTTGACTGTGGGCTATAGTAGTAGGTTTTTACCCTTTCAACTGGTACAAAAACTGACACCTTTATACAAGGCATCATGTTTGCAATAACCACAACACAAGCAGTCAAAATGCAAACAAAAAGAAACAACTCTGATAATGATATGCACTGTCCTTGAAGTTGATTGGTCCACACCCGAGACAGCTTTTCTTAGAGCCTAGTCTCCATTGGTGTTGGACCAGATGACGCCAAAAGGCGTACAACTCAAAGACAGCGCACTATCAGAGTATTGAGGGGCTTTTGAGGTAAGGCACTTTTAGGCAAGACATTGGGGAAAGGCACTTTGAGGTAAGGCACTTTTAGGCAAGACGTTAATCTCAAAGGGATGATGGCTTGATGAATGATGGGACCAACTGAATGGCAGCCGACGGAGACGATGCACCTGGGAGTGAGATGGATTGTGGCATCACAGGACGGGGAGCCATTATCTAGCATTAGATAATCATTGGCTGATTATAAGTGCTTATTTCATGAAAATATACCTTTTTATTAGTTCGGTTGTAGCCATGGTTTTTGAAGCTTGCAATGATGATGAGGAGGAGAGGGGGGGGGAGCAGCGGTTCACAGAGATGTACCCATAATGTGTTAGATACCCATATGCAGGACTGGCAGGCAACTTGTAGTGTAGGTGTATGACCTGTCATTGCAACCTTTCATAGTTGTCTCAAATGTATATGTTACTATAAGTAAGTGTTCTTCCATTGGACAGTATATGTGTGCCTTTGTTCGAATAACCCATAATGCTCCCGATTTCTTCAGATCTCGGAAGCTCATCAGGAGTTGAGCCAGGATTGTGCTCGATGGATGACCACCACATGTGGAACAGGTGTTATAGGCTGCTGCAGGAGGCTACGTTGCTGTGCAGAGGAGGACAACAGCAAAATCCATTGTTGTACATTACTATGCTCTCACGTCAATGCTCTTGTGTCCACAAACGTGCATTAACCAGTGTAGTGAAGTATGGTCAAATAATCCCCCAAGACTCGCACGGAATGGGGAGACCCCTCATGCAGTAGTGGTTTGACAAAACCGCTGCACATATAAATTGTGTATACCTGAACGCAATGTCAGTGAGCCAAATGTACCCTTCCAAGTTTACTCAATTGTATACCAAGTTGTAGCCAACAAATTTGTAATGCAAAACGCATGAAAATCTACCACCGGATTGTAGGGGTAACCCTACATTTGTGATTTCTAGGAATCCTGGACTGGTGGATTTGGCGAAATTTCAACACACACGTTGCTGACTTTGTAATCCCCAATTCCTCTCTCCTAGAAATTTGACGGGCTGATGCAACCCGAGTTCAGGACCTTCTCTGTGGACCCTCAGATCACATCCTTGGACGTCCTGCATCACATTTTAGTCCGAGCCTTCGAACTATGCGGGTAAGAGTCGCTCTTACTGTTACATTTTGGCATTTTTTTGTCGGGCTGTAACCCCAAAAATGGTTCAAAGTTGAGCACATTGTTGCGCCTTTCTCTTTGTGGCTGCATACAGAAAGAAGAACTTTGTGCTGAGTTACCTGTGCCAGGAGCCGAGCGGTGAGGAGATGTATTTGTCTCTGCTCTCCGACTGGGATTTAAAGTCTGCATTTGGCAGCGCGTCCAAGCCCTTCCTGCAGCTCCGCATCGACGTGAAGCCTTTTGAAGAGAGTATGTGCCCGCCAAGCCCACGTCGCATGTGGTTGATGTGATTATTTAATTCACCTGATCATCTATGGAACAATTCCAGCAACAACAAAAATAAGTTGGCATTAGTGCAGCAAAATGTGCCAGCTGTGTAATTCTCGTTGGCAAGGGTTTCTTTTTTGTTAATGGAAGTGTGGTTCTGCCCAAGCCTTAGGGGTGGTGTGAGAGGACATGCCTTGAAAGATAAACTATTGCTTTGTCACTCCGTTTAATAATATACTGCCATCAGATCAAAACCTTGCCAATATTTTCTAGTTTGATAGACTGGCTTTTGTTCTGTGAATTAACGCTAATCTAGTGCTTTGAAAGCAATGGATGTTTGATCGTGCTACTTTGTTAAACATCTAAATCTGCTTGGATTCAACGTAGCCAGCAGATAGCAGTGGAAAAATAGGCTTGTGAACGAGTCTCTTGTTTACATAGGCTTCCTTCAGTTAGTCCATTTTCTGTGCTCAAAAATGATTGGCTAACATCTTTACGCAAGGCCCATCTGTATTGTGAGGCTTTCCTGGATGAATACGACACTCTCCTTACATCAATTGAGCCAAATGCAATATCACAACGAAACAACGAAATATACAAGGTCTTGGATTTAAACGAAAAGGTCAATGCTGTTTGGGTAAGTTGATTAATTTGATAATTGAGTCCGTCACAATGACGATCTGCAAATAAAGTATATCCCTGCCTATCTGTCACATGTTCCGGCTGCATACGAGTATTTGCAACACAGGGCATGACTCGCACGTTCTCTACTATAGAGTATGCCGGCATTTCTACTTTACACCGGTAATTTATGTTTACCAGATAACAAAATTAGTGTGCCTTAGTCCAAAGCTTAATTGATTTGATTAATTGACAAATATTGGCCTTTATGAAACTTCTGCATATCTATCATAAGCATGATGTATAGCTTAAATATATGATACCATAAGTCAGTTAACACTGTTAATTTTATCTTTGTTTGATGTTGTTCAACACAATTTTCTTGTTCACAATAGTTTATCCCAGGTTTTACCCCGTGTATTCACAAAAGTGGCCAGTTAGTACGATTAGAATTCAATACAGAGAATGTAAACAAATTGCATGTAGAAAAGATAATGACAGAGCAGACTTAACATTTCAACTCAAACTGCAGCATGCTGAAAAACATAAATAAAACATGGACACCATTGGAACCTCATTTGCCAGCAACAAAATATGATAATTGTTTTTTTACCCTTTTATCTGGCAACAAAACTGACACCTTTTTTACAAGGAGTCATTGTTTGCATTGACCACAATACCTGCAGTCGGAATGCAAACAAAAAACAACTTTGATAATGTATGCACTGTCCTTGAAATTGATTGGTCCACACCCGAGACAGCTTTTTTTAGAGCCTAGTCTCACATGGTGTAAATGCTTACCCCGAGCTCTCATACTCTGATGGTTCATTGTCCTTGAGTTGTGCGCCTTTTGGCGTCATCTGGCCCAACACCATGTGAGACTAGGCTCTAAAGAAAGCTGTCTCGGGTGTGAACAAATCAATTTCAAGGACAGTGCATACATTATCAGAGTTATGTTTTTGTTTGCATTCCGACTGTAGGTATTGTGGTGAATGCAAACATGACTCCTTGTAAAAAAGGTGTCAGTTTTGTTGCCAGATAAAAGGCTAAAAAAACAATTATCAAAACACGGATACTTAAGAAAAATGCCAATGACCATTCCATCCTTTTTGGCTTTCAGGTCCCGTGCTGGAAGACTGGGACATCATCAGCCCCAAGGAGCTGCCGGGCAGCGAAGTGACCCTCTGGGAGCGAAAGAGCCTCAACGTCGGGCCCATCCCCCTGCTGACACAGTCCCTCATCTCACAGGTGGTGGCGGTGATGCACCTTCAATCGGCTTGCTCGTGCAATGTAGTCAAGGTGTGCCTTCCAAAGCCAAGCCGCGCATGGCTGTGTCTATAGACGCAGGCATTGCACGTGCGTGCAATTTACGGCAATCTCCGCCTCTCGGCGGCATCCCTTGAGAAAGCAGCTCGTGGTCAGAGTGATTTGTTAATCGGTTCCACGAGGGAGCCATAGATCACCGCAAGATTGCTGCTCCATGTCCTCGCACAGAGGGGTTCGAATCGGTTAGGGATAGGTGTTGTGGTGGTGCCGAGCGCCTTTGTCGTTTGGGAGCGAGGGCAGCCAAAGGCCATCTGCACAATACAATGGGTTCCCGTATTAAGAAGGGTTTGGTTAAACTCGACCCCACTACCTAAGAGTTCCCACTGCGATGGCCAGATTGTGAGGCCCGTGTTGCAGAGTAATGTTTATGCGATGGAAATATTGAATGCTGCTGAAAAGGGTTTCCTGATTAAGATATCAAAGTGAAAGTTAAATATTGTACCTTTTATATAATCGAGCTTAGTAAATCAAACCTTGCTTGGTCAACCCTTCAATAACTGCCACTATAATAAAAAAAATTAAACGTGTGAACGTATTCTAAACGCATCATAAGGTTGCAGTTAATTTTCTTAAGTCATACATTTAAAGGCAGAAAAATACTCCCACTTTATTTGAAAATAAAGTTTTCCTTGTACAATGTTTATGTAACGATAAAGCAGAACTTGCACAGTACATTTATCTTCCCCGTATATTGTTTTCTATGCAACCAACTGTATTGCTGTATGTGGGTTGACCTAATTGTTAGGTCATTGTGAATTATAAACAACTAGCCTTTTGCCCGTCCAAGGACGTGTGTATTGCAGTAAATCTGAAACTTGCAAGCGAAAAGCAGAACGCGACGTGAGATCCGTTGCATCAATGCGTGTGGAATTTGTAAGGGCGAGGTGACACAGACCTATTTAATTCTAAGGTTATAATCCCTTGTTCATCACGACGTCCTTTTTACTTCGATGTCTCAATAGCGTGATGGAGATCGCGTGACGTGAGGGTTCTGCCTTTGTAGTGAGGGTTGTGAGTTGACACCGAGGAGGGGGGAGGAGGCGCCTCGGCCCCCCATGTGGAGTGATGTCACCTGCTAATTATTATGAATGAGGGGGCTGTTCAATGTGGAGTGACGTCACTTGCACGTGATTATTGGTGAGGGATGGGGGAGTACTCCATATTGAGTGACGTCACCCGCTCATGATTATTAATGAGTAGGGGTGGGGGGTGTGTGTCCATTTGGAGGACGTCACCTGCTCATGAATATTAATAAGGGGAGCTGGTCGATGTGGAGTGACGTCACGAGCGTTAAGGACATTCCTGGGTGATTATAGTAGGTATAATAATAGATTAGACGCACAACTAGTCGAGGTTCAGCTCGGTTTGCAGGTAGGTTATACCACAATATGTTACCATTGATTATTTTGATGACCTTGAAAGTGAAGGACGAAAAACAATGTAACTTAGACTTTTATCATTGTTTTTTTCATCACATCTGCCCCTGCCTGGCTAGATTTGGTAGTGTGACATTACTCATTTGGACAGAATTTTCACCAGGCAAAATAAAATAGGGACTGCATTGTGGGCACTAGAGGGCAATAGAAGGCAGTGCAGCTAAAAGCAATTGTCCTTCTGTGCAATGCTGCCATTTCTTCACGAACCCGCACCGACCAGCCTGTGAAGTGTGATCAAATAATCTCCACGACCCATGCAGCACAGGAGAGGGATCCTCATCCAGCAGTGTAATGACAAACAGCTGTATGTGTACATAACAGCATTTATTTACAACGTGGTATCAATAAACTCTAAAGTACAAAACTAAACTATTTGTATTTTACCAGGTAAGGCCCACTGAGCTATATAGCTTTTTTTCAGAAGCGGCCTATCCACAAATGATAGCTCAACGAAGTGGCTTATCACGTGGAAATGTATAGCAGCCAAGTACTCTAAACGCGTGACGTTGATTCTAAGTATGGAGGGAAAACCCGGAGAAACGGCCACGCGACCACAGGGAGAACATGCAACACTCCAAATACACAACAGGGCATCAGGGTCGGGATCGAACCCACGGCCTCCTGTATACCAGGCGAGGTAGTTAACATCTCCTAGCCATCGTGGCACCCAACAACAATATTACCAAATGCACGATTCTAAATGTGTAGGTAAAAATCGGAGGACCCGGAGAAAATTCCACGCAAACACGCAGTGAGAGACATGCAAACATCCAAATATACATGGCGTCAGGGTCGAACCCACAGTCCTCTTGCATACCAGGCGAGGCAGTTAACATTTCGCCACCGCGACAAGACATTAACTGCGGTCCCTGCCGTGTGTGCCCTGTGCAGGTGGGGCGCACGCTCTCCAAGGTGCAGCAGGTGCTGAGCTGGTCGTACACGGAGGACGTGGCGCGACCCCTAAAGCCGCCGCTGGGCGACGCGGAGTTCCACTCGTTCCTGAGCCGCGACGGGCAGCTGGCGCGGCCCGAGGAGCTGCGTCTGCGCGTCTACCATGGCTGGCCTGGATCCATCCCTGCGCAAGGTGCTGCACACACTAACCCCCCGCCCCGCCCACCCCCCCTCCAAAACCCCCCTCCAACCAGTTCTCACCTTGTGTTCGATGTGTTCTTGAATTGTCACGCCGATTCTGTTGTTACAACGAATCGCTAGGGGTGGGGGGTGTTGAATCCTTAACGTCCCTACTTTATTGAGCAAAATCGTCAATCCTTGTTAATGCCTTTTCATAGGCAATCGCAGAATTCAAAACAAAACATTTTCGCAGTCAGTTCGTTGACACCGATCGCCGCAATGCGCAGGTCGTGTGGAGGCACCTCCTCAACGTGTACCCGGAGGGGCTGACGGCGCAGGAGAGGCTGGACTACATGAAGAAGAAGTCCAAGGAGTACGAAGCGCTCAAGAGCCAGTGGAGCATGCAGGCCAACAAGGAGGAGCTGGAGTTCACCGTCGGCATGGTCCTCAAGGACGTGCTCAGGACTGACCGGACGCTGCCGTACTACGCCGGCTCCGACGACAACCTGCACGTGCGCGCGCTGCACGACCTGCTAATTACGTACGCCGTCAACCACCCGCGCGTCTCCTACTGCCAGGGCATGAGCGACATCGCGTCGCCCATCCTCTTCATCATGGACAATGAGGCGCACGCGTACGTGTGCTTCTGCGGCATCATGAAGCGCCTGCGGGGAAACTTCCTGCCCGACGGCGAGGTCATGTCCACCAAGTTCCGGCACCTGGCGCTGCTGCTGCGCTTCTACGACCCCGAGTTCCACAACTACCTGGTGTCGTGCGGCGCGAGCGACCTCCTCTTCTGCTACCGCTGGCTGCTGCTCGACCTGAAACGCGAGTTCGCCTTCGAGGACGCGCTGCGCATGCTGGAGATCATGTGGAGCTCTCTTCCGCCCGATCCTCCTCAGGTGGAGCTCGAGCTGAAGGGCGCCCCCCTCGATGGCACGGAGTGCAGCCAGCAGGCGCCGCACCGCCGCATGGTGCGGCCGCAGATGACCTCCGCCGCTTGCAGGACTGCCGGCGCTGCCCCCGGCACGTTCCCCGCTCAGCCCCGCGCCGCCCTTGCCAAGTCCCAGCCGGAGAACTACCGGACGCCCACGCTGACGCCCACAGGAGCCGGTGCCACCGTCGCCTCCGTCGGCGCGGTGCCGAACGGAAACGTGTTCCAGATGGCGCCTTGCCCGGTGGTTAACCTGAACGTGACCGCCCGTGACGAGCGGTGCCTCGGCCTCGTAGCCGGCAGGCGGCCCTCGCTGAGGAAGTCGTCCGGGAGCGCCGCGTCGGAGATATCGGAGGAAGACGAGGACGAGGAGAAGCCGCTGATGAGCCCCAAGGTGTTGGAGCCCGACCCCGACACGAGCGCGCTGGAGCAGATGAGGCGTTCGGCGAGCAGCCTGTCGCTGTCGTTCAAAGCGTCGCTCCTCTCGGTGGCTGGACACAAGCTCGGCAACGCGCCGCCCGCCCTGATCAACGCCAAGGCGATAGAGCCGGGCTCGCCTGTGGTGCAACCCGCGCAGTCGCTGCCTCCGCCGCCGGAGTTTGGCAAGGGCAACCCGTTTGTGCTCTTCATGTGCCTGGCCATCTTGCTCGAGCACAGGGACCACATAATGCGCAACGCACTCGACTACAACGACCTGGCCATGCACTTCGACCGGCTTGTGCGCAAGCACAACGTCGGCAAGATCCTGCACCGCGCCAAGGAGCTGTTCGCCGACTACCTCCGTGGAGAGACGTGGTGCTCGGAGGAGGGTGCGGAGGCACAGGTGGCCGATGTTGAGCAAGCGTGTCGGTAGCGTGCCTGGACGGGCCCGTCCGCGGCAGGACGGTTTACAGTCGTGCCTGGCTCTTCTGTGGCCATCTGCGTTGGAAAATGTTGATTCCGATACATTGCCCCGATTACAAACTTGGGAAAAAAAAGGATATTTAAATGTATTCAACTCCTGTTCACTTTGAATGATCGATGGTTGAGTATGCGACTCCTAAATTGTTTTGACTTGGTTGACGATGGTACCGGTGAAAGGGATGAGTGTGAAATGAATTCAAATTCATCACCCCTTTTCTGCATGCAGGAACTCACCTCTGCAGAGGACTTGCCCACTTTCTTCACCGTCTCCTGCAGAGATTCTTGTGACCTGTTAATCGGTACCTAGGGCTTTTTGCTTGTATTATTGTTGTGTGAAAATTGGATGGTAAAATGACAACCCCTGCCCCAAGGTCAGGTTTGAGTGAAGAACGATGTTCTTGTCAGTTTGCATGCTTTCTGTGTATGATTTTGGTAACATTTGGAGAGAAAAAACTAAAATTTTAGGAACGAGATGTATCACTTCCAGGGATTATTTTTCCACGGCCAGAAAAAAACCTCACATTTTCCAGAGACTATACGTGGAAGGAGGTCCGTTTATTCTTGCTTGTGTACAGTTTAATGCTGCCGAGCTGCGCACACCACATTTCTCAAGGCGGTCCGATACGGTCTCTGCTGGACGTTTGCTTTTAATGAATCGACTTTATCTCACTCATTAGTTCACCTAAAGACCATTGTTGCACACCGAGGGCACTGCGACAAGCATCGGCTGGCACATTGGTATAACCCAAGTGGGTAATCTCTGCAATATTCAATCCATCCAACACAAACAATAACCATTAATATGATACGTCGACTGGGAATCGTTATTGGATGTTTGGCTGTGATAGTGTGCTGTAATTAACACAAATTACCAAGATAAACACATTTTCCATGGGAAATATTGTAAATAAATGATCTGCCTTTTCAACAAAGTATTTATTTGCCAAGCAGATATGGTACTTGTTTTTTTGGCAGGGTGGGCTAGACAGATGTAAATCTGTTTTCAGGCCAATTTAATTTTGTTCCAAATATTTTATACCAAAAAAATCCTGAGGCCAGACCGGGACATTTTGTCTTGGATTTCATTCGCAGGAATGTGCAGGCACCTGGAAATCATCTTGCACAAACACATATACACACGCCTTGTTGCCCTTGATGGCTTCATGTCCTCTTCGCTCAACAGCCGTACACTGCCATAGTCTGAGGGACGCCAGCCAAGTTCCTGTACAAGTTCACGGCGTGGGAAGCGCAGATGGAGGATCGTTTCAGCGTGTTCTCGTAACGCCACGCTGTGTCCTCGTAACGCCACGCTGTGTCGTGCTGGGTGTAAAGCGGCGAGCTCGTGGTCCGGTGCGATGATGTTTTATTGACGCTACAGTGCAATTTTAACTTTTTCCCGTTCTGTTTACGGACCATCCTTAATTTGGATGCTGCTTGCGTTTGTCTAAACTGACATGGAGAAGGCAAAGCTTAGGTCTTTCACTGAAAAGGCAACACATTTTGGACATTCTGCGACAGTGTTAATGTCGATGTATTGAGAATTCTTAAGCTGAATTGTTTATTTCTTTGCAAATATTTATTTTGCATTTTTGTTTACATTGAAGGGGTCGTATAAATGTAAAACACTACATTTAAACGTTAAAAGCATGCCTTTACATTCGCCTAATTCAACTGTCTTCCATCTTAGGGTCTGATGCCAACTTCTTTTAACCATTTTAGAACCAGTTATGCATTGTGTGTGTGCACGTCAGATGACTGTGCATTGCATTGAGACCTCTGTCCATAAGGAGTCTTGCCATCGAGACAAAGACTTTAAGGATGGATCTTTGATTAGCAATTGGGTCAATTGCCTTCTCGTTTGATAATTTTATTTGTTTGTTAAAAAATAGCATATACCTTAAGTGAATCTCATGTTTACATTACTTTGTATTGAGCACAAAAAAGTAGCCTACGTTTGCAACGGAACAAAAAAATTAACAGGCTGTGATCCGAGAGGGGGGGGTTGGTCTTTACTCCCTGGGATGGCGAATACTATTCTTGTCGAAAGGTTAGCATATATATACTATATACACACACACACACCGTGTTTTAGCGACACGCTTCATTTTGATGTAGATGTTTTCAAAAGCATTCCCCCCCCCCCCCTCCAAAATGATATTTTATGTCAAACGTTCTACAATATTATTTTACCAAAACTCTTTCACAAACGCCTGCCACGGTGACCGAGCTTTCGTGCCATATTTGTGACTTTGGAAATAAAATGCTTCAAGAAATAATTGTCAGTGATTGCCATCCCGAGTTGGTAACCGGATAAGCCAATTTTGGGCCCTATAGCGCAAGGACTGCAAAGGAGACCGACGGGGAGGTAAAACGATAGTCGTTTCACTTCACAAGGAGACTCGTAATGTTTTGCTTCGGGGTGTAAGCATTGGATCGCCAACAGGAAGCGCAGATTATTCCTTGAATGTCGTGTCGACTGAGGCCAAGTTCATCACATGTTCCTTTGCTGCGCTGTCACCAATGTTCAATATGAAATGATCATAAACGCCCACTGTTGTTCTCTTTGTTTTCTAAAATCCGGCTTGAATTTGTGAAAGAATATTTTATTTGTAAAAAAAAATAAAAGCCACTTGGCAAAAGGAGAATGTGTTTTGCTGTAGGTTTAAGTTTGCATAACAGCATTAGGCATTAAACACTTCATTTGCCTGTCCATCCTTGCAGCAATTTTATTGAATTGCCATAATTCGGTGTCACAATTAGATTTAAGAATCTATCCTCGAGGTTTCTGATACCATATGTTCCTGAAGCAGCTCCGAGCATGTGAAAATTCCACACTCACAATCCGTCTACCTTTTATTGCATTCTCAATCGTTCAGTCATGCCATTGGGCTGAAGAAAACCGCACATTATACGTAAATTATAATGATGTGTGTCATTCCGTCTGGGGACACCCTAAAAGCGAAGCATGTTGAAGATTGGCATAATTGTTGATGGATGGGAAAGGTTGGTAACATTCCTCTGCTCGATGCATAGCAGAAAGTGAATAGTTGTCAACCGTTTTGTCCTACCTTAAATTGTACGAAAATCAATGTGTTCAAGGTGTGCTCCAATAGAAGGCATGCACGACGTGAAGTTTGGCTCCAGATCGACAAAAGGGGACTCACACCGATTTATGTTTCGAAGTTTTTACGCGAAGTTGCATCGCAGGAGTTTGACGGCCGGATATTTCCTCACTTTTATGTCCAGTGAGCCTTTTAACACGTAGGCTTTCGCGACCAATGTCATCCATGATAGGTGTTTTTGGGTTAGATCGCGTAAATATATAAATGTGTCGTTAAAACCTGCCACCACCAGACACAGCCAACTAGTAACGATTGTCATGTAAACAGAACGTGCCAATTCGTCACTAGTACAGCACACCGGTGTGTTGGAAAGCCAAGCCACGACATTTACAATGTGAGTACGACGTTTCGCCATTAATTACAACTAGCTTCATCAGGCGACAGCCAGATTTGTGGAGAAGTCCACCTGTTTCGTTCCTTGTCTAGAGGCGTAGATGTGGTGACCTCGCTTCTGCGCTCTTGCGCAAAGTGGCGGGGGGGAAGGATTACTGAGTCAGTAATCTCCCTCCCCTGATGAAGCTAGGTGTAATTACTGGCGAAACGTCGTACTCGGATTGTAAATGTTGTGGCTTGGCTCTCCAACACCGGTTAGTGCTGTACTAGTGACGAATTGGCCACATTCTGTTAACATGACAACTCTTATTAGTTGGGTTTGGTGGGTTTTAACGACATATTTAGGCGATCGAACCCAAAACAACCTCTTATGGATGAGCCTTGAATATTCAAAGAAAATGGCATTGTCATTTGCCTTCAGTTACGCTAATGTATTCGAGCAATATTGTTCTTATTAAATCCACAAGTTAGTGCTGTTGTACTACTCGAGCCACGAATGTTGATTTATCAATGCCAAACTTGTTTATTGTGCAATTGGTTTCAAGTGTTTTTATCTTTAAGATGCAATTTATTTGAAAAGAGCACTTTTAAAGCACACTTTTTTGCCTGCCATGAGCCTTGTTTCATTAGCCATGTGAATTTATTGTTGGTAAATATATTCTTTTCACACCTCAATTGTGTGACAGCAACTGCGTATATGCTTTATTGTGTATATTGCCTCTTGTTCATTTTACCACCGTCATTTAATTTGATGGTCTTACCCTGATAGGTGAATTGAAAAAAACTAAAATAATAACACAAAACAGGCCTAATTCAAGTTGAAAGTGTAGTGTATTTTATCAGACGTTTAATAATATGCCACGCTTGTGAAAGGTTTTTTTTTAAGGCTACCTTATAAAGGCATTGATCGAGATTTTACGCCAATGTGACAATTCTTCTTGTGGCACAACAGTATTGTTTAAAAGCGTTGGGACCATGCATGAAACCAAACATCTGTGTATATAATGAAAAATTAAATGTTTTAAAAAGCATATTTGTTGCCATGGTTTATTTACTCCAACTCCAAAGGCTGTTCTCGCTGCACATAAGCCAAAGGCACCCACCTGCATCCATTCAACAATTAAAATCGATTCTTATCGGTGCGACACGTGCATCGAATCGGACTTGTGAGAAGACATGTACGACTTATGCAAATGATATGCTCATGTCACAGTTTAGGCTAATACACCAAGAAAAACTGAAGAATAAAGACTAAAACATTGAAACTACCAACAAGATGCCAAATGTTTGTACCCCAAAAAAAATCTAATCAAATCGTGACAATTCAGCGACAGGCCTACTAAGCCAATCCTTATACTGGTAGGAACCTCCAGGTTCCACCAGCCCACAGGGGATTATTGTGTCTGTCCGTCGTGCATCCAAAAATGGGAGGGGTGGGGCTGGGTGGAGTGGGGAGGGTGGGGAGGGGCTGGGTGGGGAGGGTTGGGAGGGGCTGGGTGGGGAGGGCTGGGTGGGGAGAGGCTGGTCACCCCGTGGTGCCCTTATAAAACTCAACGTTTAACCTACTCACGCCAGCTTGTGCCCGCCCTCACAGTCGGCCATATTTGCGGAATACACCACGCCGCCGTTGACCCTGGCCATTGACCGAGCAACCCGACGTTCCTACCAGCTCCCTCTGCAGGAATGTGTTATTCGTTCCCCCCTATCAAGACATTGCTCTGTGTCACGATGGCATCAGGGTCACACTGCACAGGCAGAAAAATGCAAATATGACAAATGAGCAAATGCTCTTCAGCTGCCCTCAGGATCGTTCTCGTTTAAAAACGAGAGTTGACATTGCGACGGGTTTCAGTCGCTTCCTCATCATCATTTCTCAGTTGCTCGTCACGCTTCGGGGAATGAGCTGCCGATATTCACCGATTTCAAAAAAAAATCACGCGCGCCCGTGAGCGACGTGCGGGTTGGTTGTGCATCAGTCGCATCCTCTTGACTTGCACGGGATTGACATGTCCACGTCCTTCCACACATTTCCATTGGCCGTGATGACGCAACTCCCGAGCGAAATATGTATTTGGGAGAAAGTACATCGTGTGCGGTCCGTCACCCCACAAATAAAATGTGTGGAGAGACATGGAAGAAGTGGTAGGGGTGGGGGTGTCACGGAAAGCCGAGGGTGGCATTTGCCAATTGACAAGGCTCCACCGCGGCCAACAATGCCCCCTATTTGACTTCGCTGCCAAGTTGCAATCTTACTTGAATGAGACGCTTCAGCTTACTTTAAATAAACACGATCAGAAGTAATGCGAAAAGAGGAGCAAGTGGGATATTGATGTTACTCCTCTGTCCGTGTCCCGTTGGTGCTTGTAATTGCTGAAGCGCTCTCGACCTGACGTCCAATTACAGACCAGGAACACGTTAATATATAAGACCATGGAACGCGTTACTATAAAATGAATGGACGCAGTTGCCGGGTGGAGCGGTGGCACAGTGGTTAGCGCACTGCGCTCTTAACTCGGCAGCCCGAGCTCAATAATGATGATAATAATTCACAAGGCGCAGTTAGTCCAGAGATTATATAAGTGCGCCATGCACGAAATTAGTAAATATAAATACAGCAGAGTCCTGAGTCCACTCGTCATACGTGGGAAGTGTAGGCCATATTCTTAGGATTTTTCGGTAAAGTCACGTAGGTAATAATATGAATCCTTGCAGTCACGAAAGCTTCAAATCTAGAAAGTGTAGGCCAGGCGAAACAGGAGAGTCTTTAGAGAAGACGTAAACATGTGTAACCGTGACTCGTGGCAGGGCATTCTCAGCAGTGGATAAGATCAGTGCTGAACTACGTCTGAACTATAGTCCTGTACCAACGTGGTGAAGATGTGCCCACACACTTATGAACAGTCGTTGATAAAGGGCTGCAAAATCATTATAATTATTGTACCTTGGGCAAGCGAGGAGATCGCGACTTTGAGACTCACCGGTAGGGGATCGAGTTTCACAAATGTGTCCACCCACCCCCGCCTCTGAAGTGTGCCGAATTGCCGGCTTACACAAAGCCACCGAGTGTCCCGTAAATATTTCCTCGAACGCAATAAAGGTACCGTAACGAGCGTGTCGATTTCCGTAACGACGCCGTCATCCCGAGCAACGCGCGCTGGGGGTGCTAGTAAGCGCCGACGTTGAGTGGCGGACACCGCTCAAGGCTGTCGAGTTGAAGTGCCTCGTCGAAACGCGTGCGTGCTTTATATTGACATATCGACGGGGTTGTTCGTTGCCAGCACCGCTCCGGTATATGCACCGGAGTGACATGTAGAGGGTCCCTCCATCGATGATCCTATTTCGGGCCGCTACTTGTGGCCGCTGAAGTGTTGTACCCCCGGCTGCTTCGTCTGCGTCATGACGGCGCAAGTCTCTCTCCACGTGCTGCTACGCGGCGTCTGTTGATTGGCAAACAGAGACAAACATTAGCACGGAGTTTCGATTTAAAGCTTTCGTGACTGCAGGGATTCATCTTCTTGGTTCTTTCGGTAAAGTCACGTTGAATGGAAATAATAAAATAATAAAAATAAAACTTTAATAAATAATTCTCACGACGTTTCGGCCACAGAGTCTGAATTTCAGACTGAATTTCAGACTGTCTACTGGACAGACCTGCTCTCCACCTGAGGACGGCTGCTTGCGTTGTGGCCGAAACGTC